CTCAGGCGCGGGTGCCGCTTCCTGTAGAGTTGTTTGTAGTCTTTCCTCTGTAGTTGCCTGCAGTGCTCCTTTTCCTCTGCCCGTGTCCTTTTCCATCCTGTGCCTCTATGTCCCCATCTCTTCGTGCGCATCTGTCTTCTGATCCCCGTCCCGGTTATGGCCCCAGCACACGCAGATGCACCCACATCTCGCTCCTTCCTTTCCCCACCTCTCTGCCTCCCAGGTCTTACTCCTGACTGCTTTCCGTGTACGACAGTCCTGCACAGGGGAAGGTTAGGTTGGACATTAGGATGAATTTCTTCACAGAAAAGGTGGCACTGGAATGGACTTCCCAGGGAGGTGGTGGAGTCATAGTCTCTGGAGACATTTAAGGAAAGACTAGACGTGGTACACGATGCCATGGTCAAATTGTCATGGTGATGTTGGGTCATAGGTTGGACGTGATGATCTCCAGAGGTCTTTTCCAACCTTGGCTTTCTGCCTCACCACCAGGTCTTTGGAAGGTTGGGGCAGAATGCTTGTGCTTCATTTTCAGCAAAACCCCATTCTATAGAAGTGGTTAGGATGGGGTGGGATACTTACAGTGGGCTGCTGGGAGGGTATTTGAATCACTTTTCTTTTTCTGCAGTATTGTGCAGTGCCTTGGTGCTGCCCTTTACAGTCAAGTGCTGTCTGCTGCCACGCAAGTGGTGACCAGGGACAGAGTTGGAAGCAAAACTGAGCGCATATCATGTGAACATTTGAGGTGTCGTTAAAAGCTTACTGCAGTAACTTCCTGCTGATCTGGCCTTGTACAGGGTTGATTTGACAGCAGCAGAGAGAATGCTGGATGAGGAGTCCTTTGGATTTAAGGTTGTGAGAACACATTGAAAATCTTCCTTTCTTTTCAGAGAAGCTTAAAATGTCAGCTTCAAAGTACAAGGATTTTGAACAGAGCATCGGTGTCGGGTAAATCTTTATAGTTATAAAGCTGCAGAAAAAGTAAACCATATTTAGAAAATAAAGATTCTTCTTCTGAAATGTGGATTTTCTGAAGATAGGAGATAGTGCTGCTGTTACTGGCTGCCATGGCATCAGTGGAACTATGAAAACAAGCCTGACTTTAAGGAAGGATTTGTGCCTTCTCTGATTTTCATGGGCATCCAAAGATTATTTGCTGTAATGATTTCTCTAGCTTTGGCTGTATTGCACCGAAAGAAATCCCTCTTGAACATTGCAATATCTTAGTGGTATGCAAGTCAGACTTGCAGAGATTATGGAAGACAGCATGTTTTCTTTTTAGCAGGTTTTATTGGGACCATGTTCAATGACCCAAGTCACTTCATAGCAAGAAACCAGAATAACCGGGAAGAACTACCAGTAATAATTGTGTTGGGCATGAATTGGCACTGTGCTGTTTGGAGTCTCCAGTAGAGTGTTTGTTTTAGTCCATTGCTGAGATGTGTAATTTCCTAGGAAAAGAGCTGCTTCACATGGAGAAAGTTAAGTCCTTTTATAAAAAGTTTTACAAAGTTTTTATACTTCAGATGCTCCCTTCATTTTAGTTGTTGCCAAGAAGGAGCCTCCTGTGCATGTTTTCAACTGTGGTGAAAAACAGCAATGTTTGTACATGAGGTGAATGTGAGTCACCTGGTGGTGACCTGGCACGTATTGCTCCTGTTCCATCTCTGTTGTGATTTGTGCAGTAGTAGTGAAAACAGTTTCTGATGATTCCTGACCTCCTTCTGTAGGCAAGTGTAGCTAAAGTTACTGTGGTCGACAGATCCTTTTCTGGCTCTTGGATGAGAATGTTGCCATAAATTCCTGGGCACATTAAATGTCTGGGTGAGCCTTCAGTGCTGTGGAGGTGCTGCAGAGTGCTGTACCTCTGTGGAATAGGTAGCACCTTATCTGAAGGATGTGATCCCTGTGCTGCACAGTTTAAAGGGGCTGATTGCAAGCCTGACATTATTATTGGGCACCTGAAGGATGACTGTGGGTTTACTATGGGAAAGAATACTCCATGGTTCTTTAGATATTCAATGGATGTCCATGAGTATCTTTGAAGACTGGAAATGGTGCTTTCAGTTCTATTTCAAGGACTACAGGAAAGTTGGCATAGATTTATTTAACAGAATTGCATCTCACTAGACAGAATTCAACCAGAGGGAACAATCCTCTGGATATCACAAGTGATAGAGTCACCATGGCAAAAAAGATGCCACTTAGTATTGAAGAATGTTCAATGACAGATTGCACTTTACTTGCCATGAGTTATGAAAGAAAAAGGCAGAGAGGATTTAAAGTATTGGGATTTTGGTGATTGCTGTAACAGGAGTTGCTAAGTGAATAGAACTGACTATCAGTAGTTGAGGTTCTTCTTTATGTGGATTCTGTTCAGATTCTAACATGAATGTTTGTGAAGTGCCTTTAGTTCCTCTAGTTTTACAGCTCTCTTCAGCAAATATCCCAGATGCTGAGACAAGAGGGACTGATTATTCTACTCTCTTAAGGAGGAAGTTGCCAGAAGTTTTGATGGGTAAAAACAAGGTGTATTTCCAGAGCCAGCCTGGAAAGGTAATCCTGCCTTGTAGAGCTGTACTTGGTCACCCAGTGCTGCCATGTCCTCATGTCTGTCATCACTGATGTGTGTTGGGCATTTCTTGAAAGGGTTTCTTAGTTATTGCTATATAAAGGTGCAAAATACCCGTCACAGTCACTCATTAATTGATACTTTTATGAAGACCGCTACATACAGAAAGAGTATGAGCAACTGCTAGTTGCAGATTTATTTGATAAAAATACACAGCTTATGTCAAAAAGTTGATGAATAGCAAATGTATATAGGAAAACAAAACAGGTTTGTTGTTTGCAGCAGATGTCAAATCCAGCAGTGCTTACCTCTACTATGTTTGATGCATCTCAATCAATATTGTAACAAGAGAAAAAGGGGAATAATATTTATATTGCAAAAATGTTACCGCGAATGAAAGCTCCAAGCTAGCTCATTTAACACAAAAATCATTGTGTGATCCCTGGTGCTGTTTAGTTGGATTTTTTCTTTGCTGTAACTTTCTGTTCTTTGCTGACTTGATTCCTAATAGCAGTCTAATATGACAGAGTTTGAGTTTGGAAACTTTCTGCTTCTGCTCACCACATATCTTATTGGTGAGTAATTGCTGACAGCCGGGACTTGGCTTTCTCACCAGCTTAGCTCACTGCCTTTTCCAGCCTTTTCTTCCTCTCTTCCATAATGTCTTCCTGCCTTTATTATGAAGGTTGCTAGTGCAACGTAGTGCTGTGCTAGAGGCTGAATTTATTGAGTTATTATTATTAGTGATGTGGTGGTTTGACCAGGAAGAAGTGGGAATTCTGGGAGGCTGTGGTCAAACCAATGGATGCTTGGAGTTTGATATTGGCACCTTGGCACTCAGTAAATGTTCTTGGATTTCTGTTTTTGTCTTCAAGAATGACCTAATGGGGAGGATTTGGCATTCGTGTAGTAAAGTTGCAGTCTTTATCTGCACATTTTCAAACTTGGCCCTAAAGAACAGCTTTGGAAAAGCTCTCCTGTTTGGGGGCTGACACTAGGGAAGGCCGTAAGTTACCAATTAAACCATGTGAAGAGAGATTAATGCTTAAACTGTTAGTGCTTGCTGTGCCCATGCAAGAGAGGTTTCCAGGTTTATGTCACAACTTAAAAATGTGGTAGCTGAAAGAAACATCTAAGAAGAAACATCTAAGACATTTTTTTTCTCATTTATGCAGTTAGTGGTAAGAGCTTCCTTATTCCCATCTCTGTTAGCAAACAAAGGTCTGCAGCTGGCAGCTTAGCCCATTGTCTTAGCCTTACAGCAGTGCTTGCAGATTGACTGAACTTCATTGTCAGGTTTATAATGCATTTTGGCTATCCCTTGTTACTGTTCCATTTCAAATTGCTGTGGTATGTTTGATGGACCCAGGATTTTCCTAGGGAGTTTGAGGTTAGTACATTTCCATCTACTATGAATGTAAAGGATGTTTTGAAAGGTTAGCTGTTTAAAACACCTGAAAAGGATGGAAGTTTACTGCAGTTCTGTAGGAGTGAATTTTTATTTTTAAATGCTTTTTCACTGATCAGAAACTGAGGTCAAATTGCCTTGCTTTAGGTTTAAATGAGGAGAAACTCCATGAAGGGAGCAGTCTGAGCAACAGCAGCTGTTCCCAGCTTTTTTTCTATTCTGTACTAGGCATAGGAAGTAAGGATGGTGATTGCTAACTGCATTTTATCTTGAGGTGGTTGTTCCTTTTAAAAGACTCTATTTAAAAGATCCTTTTGCTTTTTTGTTACCCACTTGGAAGAGATTACCAGAGTTCAATAGCTTCTTTCTCTGTCTTTTTGGGAATGTCAAGCATTATATGGAATGAGGACCAGGCAGGGAGTTCAGCTGTGATAACTGATAACTCTTTGTTGTGCAGGGAAAGGAACCATGCAGAAATGCTCACCAACATCCCTGCTGTGTCTCTTGCCTATCTGAGAGAGGAAGATTATCATACGGTGTTTTAAAAATAAATTTGACTCAAGTATCCTCCTTTCATGTAGAAAATTAAGACTGTTTCTGAAGGCTCAATAATGAATGTGCATTTTTATTCATTGAACAATGATTTGCATGTTTAAAAGATAACATACCAAAGCACTGCATTTCCATTTCTTGAAGGATGGCTGTCTGTGCATGTCTCTGTATGCTTGTATCTGTTTTTATACCATGTGGTTCTAAGCAACAGTATTTCTGCAAATCTTCCACAGATTCTGCTAGAGTTCTGCTGAACTGTTCCTAAATTTTATGGTATCTCATTGATAGTTGATACTGCCTCAGGCCCCATTCTCTCTGCAAACAAAGCTCCTCTTTCTTAAACTTAAAATCCATAGAAGAACTTGCAGCAATGACAAAGGTTAAGCTTTCAACACCACTTACTATGTCACTTGTGTATCTGTACCAGACATCTGTGCCCATCATTATATATGTCTTTTTCCTTTTAAGGTCTGTGGGGGACAAGACTCATGGAAGAGAGCAACACAAGCAGAGAGCAGTACTTGAAAAGTATTTTACGGGAGCTGATCACATACATGCTTTTCCTCGTGGTCCTGTGTGTCTGTAAGTACTATCCAGCACCAGTGCATCAGTTCTGTACTACCTGCTTGTTGTCATTCCAGAAAGGAGGTTGTTTGATGTGGGAGAATTAATAGACAGGTAAGCAAATACTTGGAATCAAATATTTCTCTTTTTTCTGCACATGGGCTGTTGCTTGAGACTGAAGATACTACAACTTTCTGCATCTTAACAAGCTTAGAATCTTCAGGCAGGATGATAGTAGACTTATTCTTTGTTTTTAGACAGCATTTTTTTATTGTAGTACCACATTGCAGTGTAATACTTCTGCTACACTTTTTGCAATGACCGAGAAGAAACGATAAATGAAGAGGAGGAGTTAGCCATCCAGGACAAATAATTGAATCACCACATTTGAAGTTCATCAGCAAGGTTATATGCAGATCACAGCTGGAGGCTTCTGTGGTTTGTGCCATTTGTTGTATGTTGATGTATATGAAGTATCATAACACTAAAGAGCACAGAACACAATAGCATTAAATTTGCAATGCAAGAAAGAACTTCTTGTGGAGTTACAAAATATCTGCTTTATTTGTTTGCTAGAGAGAAAACCAACAAAATGTGCACATTAAGTTGGTGTGTCTTTAGAAAGCCAGTATGTTTCAAGTCTCCACTTTTTAGTGTGAACAGTTCTGCCCTAAATGGCTGAAATGCTGGTGGTGACTCTTGAGTTGCCATTTATGATCAGTTTTAATACAACAAAGTGATGTTTTAAATTTTTGTGAGAGGAGTCTCAGAGTGGAAAAGCAAAGGCAAAACTGCACTGATAGACTGTTTCTGAGAGCAAGTCTGCTCTGCTTGAACATAACAGAATTACTAAAAGCCCCAATTTTATACTATTGACACAACTGTTTTGATGTTCTACTGCAGGCATGTTTATATATTAAATATCATGTTTTTTTTTCCTTCCTGACTAATTTAATAGTGCTTAGAGCAGGTTTATGAAGAAAGCAGTTGTAGCACTGTAGCACCAGGAGAAGTGTTGCAGTGAGGGGTCTGCTTTAAAGTGAAATTTGTTTCAGCAGAAGAAGTTTGGCTCTTAACAGGCTGTTAACTGTTTGTTTTGCTACAGAAAAAGATTTTTGCGAACAGAGTAAAGGAAAAATGTAGTGTGTTAAATATCTGGAGATATTGCTAACTTATTAGTATGTTTTAAGTATCCTTTGTATTTTACATATAAGCAATAACTGGAGGTCAGTCTGGCCTGTGGCTTGCATGCCCTAGGAGAGTGCTTCCCAGTGCAGGCTAAATGCTGTGAGCATTTCTTGTTCTCTTGCTGTTTGGAGAGTAATGTTTAGAGAGAATCCAGGTATGGCACAGTCACGTGATATATTCCATCCATGTGCACAGCAGAACTCTGTTAAAAATAGTTTTTGCTCTCTGGTTATTAAGGGAAAAAAAAAAGTTATAAATTTTAAACAACTATCAAAACTGACAGTGATGTTCAGTGTAGGCCAAATCTTTCAGATTCCTCTGAGTTTTAGCCACACAGTGGTTCAAGTATTTACAGGTGGTAACAGTACCTGTCAGCAATGGAGAGACAGGAGCATCTGAGCTTGGATCAGAAGCCAATTTTATTGAGAATACAAGGCATTTATATATGGTTTTACTGGTATGGCACTTCATTAAGGTTCTGTTTTTGGTAACAATTTCCCATTGGTTGCACATTCTTCATGACATTACATTACCTGGTAACATTGTCTTATCACAAAAGTTTCACAACATATCTCTTGCTCACTTCTTGCCCAGGGAGAATTTATCTGTGTTTGTCTCTCCCAAGGTTTCTGCTTGATCAGGCCTAGGATATCAGGCTCCTTTATCAGTTCCATTGTACTCTGTTGTATTCCCCATAAATACCCATGCCAAAGACTATTTCCTCAACCCATCTTAGTTTTGTGCATAATTCCATATTTTTGCTCTGTGGCCCTCAGTCATACCTTTGGCCCTGTGTGAGGAAAAGGACTAATACAGTCATTTATTTTCTGTGGGGAGTGTCTCTTAAAGGCACTGTATATCTGTACCGGACATTCATTGCTTAATCCATGTCATTCCCAGTGCCCTGCAGTATCCTGGTTGACTGTCATTATCTGCTTAAGCAGAGCATAGTTGTCCTGAGGTCTTTGTGCCATCTGTGCCAGTTCTCCATGCATGCCTTGGGTAGCACAAACCACCTAAAAAGGCCCTGCCAGCCTCCCTTCAGACTGCTGAATTGTGCCTTCTTTTCCTTGAGGTTTACTTTGGTAGAAGCATTAATAATAGAATGAGATGTGGAAAGGAGAAGAGAGTATTACAAATTGATTGATCAGTCTACCTTCACTGCTTTTTGTATTTTAATCACAGTTGACAGATAAATGCGACTTGGTGTGGATTTTGTTTTGGAGCTTAATAGTTCCACTACATAATCTGTACAAATTCAACCTGATGCATTCGAAACGAATAAAGGCTTTTGCTGTTTTTTTTTTTTTTTTCCCTCTTTCTTTCATTCCTTTATCTCTCACTCCTTACCAAACCTTCTGCAGTGACTTATGGGACAGTGAGTTCCAGTATGTACTATTATACAAGGGTTATGTCACAGCTCTTCCTGGAAACACCTGTGTCAAAAACGGAGAAAACTGATTTCAAAACTTTGTCCACAATGGATGACTTCTGGAAGGTAATCTAAACCCAAGTTTTTATATCTCTCTTGCTGTGGTTCACTGGTACTGTCATGAACCTTAAATTTTACCTTTAGAATCTTATTTCCTAACGTGGTCAGACTTGTGCATGAAAATCTATGTGCACAATGTCAAAGCTATGGAACAAAGTAGGCCTTTAATACGTGAAAATTTAGAGCCCAAATAATGTTGGTGGGGCAGGGTAGGGCCTGTGGGATGTCTGTGGAGGGCAGGTAATAGTAAAGTCTTATGTCAGAGAAATTATTAACTGCAATTCTAACACTTCTGTGGAATGAAGAGCTACAAAAACAGTGCTGGCAGCATGCAAACTGAAGTTCTGTCATCCTCCCCAGTTCACAGAAGGCCCTTTGCTGGATGGTCTTTACTGGGAAATGTGGTACAACAACAAAACCATGGCAGAAAACAAAAGCTTTATTTATTATGAGAACCTGCTCCTAGGAGTGCCTCGCATTCGGCAGCTGAAAGTCAGAAATGGTTCCTGCTCCATACCTGAAGATTTAAAGGAGGAAATCAAAGACTGCTATGATGTCTATTCTGTAGCTAATGAAGATACTGCTCCTTTTGGGCTCCGGAATGGAACTGCGTACGTAGCATTCCTGTAGATACATACTCATTTTTTATATACTTGTCACCCATTTTTCTATCTTAATTTTACAGTGTTAGTCAAAGGAACTTTGTAACTTCTTTCTCAGAGGTTACATCAAAACTTTGTAGCAAGGACCCTCCGAATTAAAGTATATTTAGTAGCTAATGCATGTTTTTTGGTCAGGTTTTGTTGGTGTCTGTTTTATTAATTGTAAGTTGAAAGTGGAAAGACCAATGTGCTCTCTTTCACTTGTGAACTAGCTGGACATACACCAATGAGAAGGATTTGAATGGCAGCAGCCACTGGGGCTTGATTGCCACATACAGCGGGGCTGGTTATTACCAAGACCTCTCGAGGACCAGAGAAGTGACAGCTCTGCAGATTGCAAGCCTGAAGGAGAACCTGTGGCTGGACAGAGGAACCAGAGCAGCCTTCATTGATTTCTCTGTGTACAATGCCAACATCAACCTGTTCTGCGTGATCAGGTATGAACAGAACCACGACAGTGTTCATTGCACGGTGTGGGTTGTAGACCTGGGGTTTTCTTGTGATGGCTTTGTTTTGGGGACATAGGTGTATCAGTGATATTTTTGCCTGATGTCCGGGAGAAATGATGAGGACTCCTCCTTGGATATCAGAAGACTAATTAATTAATTTATTATACTATATTATTCTATATTATTTTACACTATATTACATCTAAACTGAATCTGCACAGGCACCCAACTGCACAGAATCTTGTGACTGTCTGCTGACTGACAGTCTGCACATGTGCTTGGCCCTGATAGGCCAAGGAAACAAAACACCATCACTTTGGGTAAATAATCTCCATATTGCATTCTGCTTTGGCACAACACAGGAGCAGCGAATGAGATAAGAATTGTTTTGATAATTCTTTTCTCTGCTTCTCTCACTGCTTCTCTCAGGTTCAGAGAACGTGAATCCCACATAGGTGAGTGTATGTTTTGTGTAAAAGAGATAGACAGCTGAAGTGCCATACCTCCCTGTCAAAGAAGTGAGACTCCTCATGGAGTCTGTCCCGGCTTTCCTGATGCCACAATGCCTTGGGTGCAGTTTGCAGGAGACGTTTCTAGAGAGTTGGCATATTCAAGTAAATACATGGGTGTAGAGCGTCAGCCTTTGGTTTAGACAGAATGAAGCAGGCAGAGGTGAAAACAAATCTTTCAGTCTCTGTTTCCTCACTGTTCCTGAAAGGCTTTGAGTTTTAGTCAAAAGTGAGCGTGGTCACGTTTACAACTTTTGTTGGTGTGAAAAATTGGAATCATGTGAGGGTTTGTTTCTATTATTTAGATAATCATACAAATAAATCCAAATGTCTTTTAGTAGTGCTTTTCATCAGTTCTTGTTAAATCAAATTCTTTTTTTCTTTGTCTTTTTTTAAATGCAGGTTGCTAATAGAGTTTCCAGCCACTGGAGGCCTGGTTACATCTTGGCACTTTCAGCCTGTGAAGCTGATTCATTACATCTCCACTTTTGATTTTTTCCTGGCAGCCTGTGAAATGTCCTTCTGTCTTTTTGTTCTGTATTATATGGTGGAAGAGGTCTTAGAAATTCGCATTCATGGATTGCGCTACTTCAGAAGTGTTTGGAATTGCCTTGATATCCTTATCATTGTGGTGAGTAATCTTTGTAATCAGGCTAAAATTGCTTTCTAGAGTGCACTTTGTGGGAGACATGAATTACTCAGTGTTCCTGTTGTGGTTTTAAAGTACAGGACCATCATTAGAAGGGATACTTCCAGACTATTAGGGTATTCAGTCTGAATATGACAATTTTAGTCTGTGTTTCACAAAGTTGGTTGTTCTGTCTTCAGTGCTTTCAGCCTGGTGCAAAGTTATAGTATTTGTCCACCATGCATTTTCAGTTTTTGTTTATACAGACTTTTACTGAAGGTGACAAACTTGCCATCCCTTCTACATATCTGGTACAGACTATTGCACTGGCTTTCAAATAAGAAAATCATCTGCTTTAAAGAAGTGATTTACATTTCAAGGAATAGGACTTGGATTTGAATATGTTTGCAAAGAACCACAAGGAGATTTATCTTGGTATTAAATACTCACCAGCTAATACCAAGTTTGCAGAAGTGCCTCAGAATTGTAGAGTGCTAGCAGCTGTCTGGGTTAAGTGGACAGTGTTGCACTTTAGTAATCTTAGTGTGCTAGAAAATATGAGCTTTGGATATAAAGCTGCATAGTGTAATTCTCTCTGGACTCAGATCAAGCTGTGCTTACCAAAAGTATACAAAGCCAGAAATGCTGAAACAGTTCCAGTCCCATACTTGTTTTGTATCTTCAGGCTTGGATTAATCAAAGGCTTCAAGTCTTGAAGCCAGTATTTGTAATCCAGGGGAATATTACTTGCATCACAGTCCTTTGTAAATGAATGGCTGCTTAGGAGGATGTTTACATGAACTGTGTGCTGTTTTTTTACACTTAAAGGTTGGGCAGGGAAAAAATGCTTTGCTGTTACAGTCAGTGAAGAGTATTCTACTGTGAGTGTAAAATTCAGATCACACAAGAGGTCAGAATTCTATGTTTATGCGTTGCCTGAGGGGCATTGTTTAAATGTAGGATTATGTACTTACGACTCTCTATATGTGGTGAAGTGTTCACTTACAGTAATGAACAGAACATTTGCAGAAGTGAAAGCAAGAAACCTCTGTGGTAAAACTGCAGCTTCTCTGCTGTTGCTTGTTCTGGGCAATACTGCTCAGTCTGTGCTCTGGAGAAACTGTAGTACCTTTTTGGCTACTGTTGTCTTTCTGTTCTGTGTTCTTTTTCACCTTTGTCTGTTTGAATTGTCATATTCTCTTCCTTACATTTTCTTCTCTGCGACAACATCACTTCTGTAATCCTGCTAGCTGCTACTGTTATCTTGTTGTTCACAAACAGTGGCAAGGAAATGACTTTTAAATCTTCTTACTCCCAGACTATTTGTCTGTAGTCCAGGACTATGATGGTTTTATTTTGAAATGCATGAAGTTCCACATATTAATTTTATCTGACATAGATGTCTCAAACAAGTTGTTTTAAAGCCCTAATTACTTTTTGTTAATTTGTGTGTTTCTTTTGTCCTCAGCTGTCTGTGGTAGCTATAGGAATTAACATCTATAGGACATCAGCGGTTGATATGCTCCTGAAGAAGCTGCTGGAAGATCAGAACTCATTCCCCAATTTCGAACCCTTAGCATATTGGCAAATGCAGTTTAACAACATTGCTGCAGTCACTGTGTTTTTTGTCTGGATTAAGGTAATTCAGGACACACATCTTTATTCTACTGTTAGAATGTAAGCAGTATTCTGAGTTTCATGAGACACATTATTTGAGGTTTACTCGTGTTTCTCTCAAAGTCAATCATGTGAGAAAGTCAGAGCAGTGATAACTTCTTGCAGACGAAAAGCTAAGTTGTAATTTGCCACAGGTGTAGTCAGCTCTTGTTTAGGTCTAGAAAAAGTAGTCAGTCCTTGTGTTTTGTCAGCAGACATGTTAAGAAATGTTTTTATTATTCCTCAATTGATAAGTCAGTAATTCTTACTGCTTTGTCTCTAGCCATGTTCAAGACATCTCATGTAAAAGAGTGAAGAGCAATTGTGTTAAGAAATTGTCTTCCTTCTCTTTTCAGCTTTTTTCTTTGTTTTTTTTTCTTTTAACAGCTTTTCAAATTTGTTAACTTCAACAGAACGATGAGTCAGTTATCCACCACAATGTCTCGCTGTGTCAAGGATGTAATTGGCTTTGCCATTATGTTTTTTATTATTTTCTTAGCATATGCTCAGTTGGCCTATCTTGTCTTTGGCACTCAAATTGATGACTTCAGCACTTTCCAAGATTGCATGTAAGTTAAGGTATAAAAAATGGAAAGAAGATTTTGGTTGGTGAATCAGTTACTTTATCAGAGGCAAATCCTGTGATATCCATCTAAGCAGATAAGCTGCAGGCACACTGCTGTTGATATAACCTGGTAGCAAACACGTTTTTATTACATTTTAATCTCTGTATTATTGCTGTCAGAGCAGTAAGCTAAAAATGCCAGGGCTGGGTTGATGTGATACAATTTTTACAGGGGTTGGTTACATTCCTAGACAAAGCAATGACTCCATGTTCAGTGGTTAAATGCTTATTGAAATACTGGATGCATAATAAGGTTGTGTTCCTGATAGTGTTCATAGTTGCTTGACTCAGAGTCCATCTTAGACAGCCACAAAATTTATAAGTATCTGGAATCCAGGAGAGAGAGAGAGGACTTAATATAAGATTGCTGATCAATTTTTCCTTGATCAATTTGGTGCAACACAACCTGATTGTAACTGAGGAAATTAGTAGGTTGTTCAGTCACTGATTTCCCTTGCTCCGTTACACTGGGACAGTGTTGCAAGGAGTTTCTTGCAGAGAAGCGAAGGGACTGGAAATGTGCTGATGGTGCCATAAATTGCCAAGCTTCTTCCAGCTTAGAGGGAGAGGGTTGGGGTTGTATGTGTGTGAGGAAGATGGGACTGGGTCTAAGAGCTTCACAGTAGTAATTGTTAGTTTGTTCTGCTTCCTGTTGTGACCAAAAAGGAGAAATAAGCCCCATGGCTTTGTTCTGTGTGTGCACCTGACTGTGAGTTGGGTTATGCCTATCAGATGTGCTTGATGAATTGTTTTTGCAGACCCTGATAAAGTGTTACAAGAGTGCAGATCTCTCTGCAGCCTATCAGTCCCACTGCTAGAATAAAATAGTTTGAGAATCCTCACACAGCTCCAGTATTATTTTCTCCAACTCCTGGATGTGTTTTGTTTTTTAAGATTTACTCAGTTCCGCATCATTTTGGGAGACTTCAACTTCACAGAGGTTGAAGAAGCTAATCGAATTTTGGGACCTGTTTATTTCACTACATTTGTGTTCTTTATGTTCTTCATTCTTTTGGTATGTACACTTTGTTTATATGGGGTGTGTCAGTGGCTGCTTTTGCATCACTTGTCCTTTGATTCCTCCTGCTACTTTTGGGGCTTTTTCTGATAATGATGAGTGTATGGCCCATGAAGGGGCCTGACTGCTACATGCTGGTCACTACACTCTTTCCTCACTATACTCTTTAACACTGTTTTTCCTCATTTAAAATTGATTTGCATAGTATATTTTTTGTCATTCTCATGTAGTGATCCACATTTTAAATTTATTGTTATTATTAATTTTATTTCTAAAATCTGAATAGTGCCTGGTTGTCAGACACAGCAAGGCTGTCTCTTTTGGTGAAAAGTAGCTGTACTGTTCCATGCAGTCTCTTGATTCATAAATTGCTCTAATGTGTGGCTGGCTGGGTTTACAACAGCTTTGTTCCTTCATGCCACACACAGCTTTGCCTGCTGCAAGAGCATGGTTCTTCAGCAGTCCTGTATCATCATAATTTTTAGTGTTATTTAGTGACCCTCAAACTTAGTGCAGCTTTTTGTTACTGTTTGAGATGAGGAGGAATGGCATTCAGATTTTATTTGTGGGAAAATACTTCATCTTGGATGAAGTTCACTGGTAAGGATGCAGATAATTTTAAATCTTTGTGAGGAATTTAAGTGTTTGGTGAGATGGACCAGGATTCAATGGGAAAATAACAAATGTGTCACTATGTGCCAAAAGTTCACATAAAGCAGGTTTCCTATTTGCTTTGTAGCACCTAAAGTGTTCCAGAGGAACAGTCTAGTGTCCAGCAAGGGAAAGAAATCTCTTTTTTCCAAGGGGCAACAGAAAAGCACTGAAAGGTGAAGTCAGAGCAGGTTATCCAAAATACTCACTATAATTTGTGGTGTTTTTAATATCATTTTGTCTGAATGAAATGTTGTTGCAAGTCCCTTCAGACCAGTCTGAGACCTAGAAATTCAGTTAGGGAAGATGGGCAGAAAGCACCAACTCTTAAAGCTGGACAAAATAGCAGCAGAAAATAGCACAACAGTGAATTGTCAAGTTACTTCTTACTTCTCTGGTGTTGGGCATGAATGCATAAAGATACAGCACTGAAAAATTGTCCCAAAGCATGTTTTTTAAGTGCATGAGGAAACAGAGGATAACATTGCCTTTCTACATTGAGCATGCCAGTAAATTGAGTAACTCTTCTTGAATATGCAATTTGTAATTCAGTCATGTTTACTCCATGTCTAGCAGGAGCCCTTCAGCAATGACAGCATGGTTTAATAAAGTTACATGCTTGGCACAGAGTTATTGAGACCAATATTTTCTCCTTTCTCTGTACCAGAAAGAGCTCTTTCCAGAGCCGGTGCCATATATGCCAAGTGCCTGATTTTAAGCTTTTTGATTTTATCTTTAGTTTGAAAAGCAAGCGGAGCTGTAAATAGATAAGAGCCTTTGTTTTGTGCTGATTATAACACGATGAGTAGTTAACAGTAAACTTGATTCCTCAGGCATTTTTGTTGCCAGCCCTTTTGCCTGGATTAATTCACAGCTGTTACCTATGTAAGCTTTTTTTTGCAGGGTTTACTGCCACTGCTGCGTGTAGCTGTGAACTGTCTCTGGAAAGGAATTCTCCAGTTATGTTAGTAACCAATGATGTTGATTAAAATTTGTTATACTGCAGCGTATCATATTTCAATATAAAGCTCTGGATGTTAGTTTCATTTTAAACAGATCACCATTTTCTTCTGGCCTTTTGAAACAAAATCCATGTTAAGGTCTGCACAGCAAGGTCATAGGAGTAGTAGGGCTCAGTCTTGTTGAAATTTGAAATTTCAACGTTTTTGTTTTCTCTTATGAACAGAACATGTTTTTGGCCATTATCAATGATACCTACTCTGAAGTCAAATCAGATATGGCACAGCAGAAGGCAGAAATGGAATTGTCTGATCTTATCAGGAAGGTAAATGTAGTGTTTTGTTTGACATCTTATTCTTCACATCTGAACTTATTTCATAAAATACTATATAAACTGTACAAAGTAAAGCTGGCAGCAGCTAGTGAGAGTACACATCTCAGTTAAAATAAATTAATCTGAGCTGAGTGTAAATTAAATGAGTGAAAACTTCCCATCACAATGTATTTCAGTCATCTGAGACATTGTCTTGAATGATCACACTGAACACACTGAATGAGATTATACAGTAGCTGATTTCTGTAATCAATGTACTTATTAGGAATCTCGTTTCATGAAAAACAGCAGAATTTTACTTTCTCTTTTAGGGCTACAATAAAGCCATGATCAAACTTAAATTGAAGAAAACTACTGTTGATGACATTTCAGAAAGTCTGAGACAAGGTGGAGGAAAACTCAATTTTGATGAACTCCGGCAGGATCTCAAAGGGTAAGGGAATTGTTACTTCTTATCTTCAATAGTATATCCAGGGACTTGTGATGTTAACTTTTTGATGTGATTTTCCTCTAGCAGAAGCACACTAATGTGGATAAAGACACACATCAAAGTGTTTTTCTCTGCGTTATGGCTGGTGTTGGCATCACATACCAGAGAAAGGTTTTTGGGGCTCTGGGGTCCAACCTCCTTGAACTTCTGTGTTTTGGGGATAAAAACACAGAAATCTCTGAGGAAGAGATTTCTCCTCAGAAATCTCAGAAATGACAGAAACATTACCATTTCCTCAGAAACATTACCATTTCTCCTCAGAAATGACAGAAACATTACCATTTCCTCAGAGACCTTTGAGAAAATGGTAATGTTTCTGTCAGACTGCTGCAGGAGTTTGTGGACAGTTGGGAGTCCAAGGCAAGGGTACAAATCAAGGAGATATAGAAGGGAGTTGTGAAGTGAAGGAGAAATGTTCAATGTCGGGAAGGTTGATGCTTTAACTAATGAAGGATAAGGACTGAGGGGTTTTTATCAGTGTTGTGAATCTATAGGCAACACTGGAATGTCTTTGTCTTGAGGATGAAAGTCTATTTGAAGTGAAATGTTTTCTAATATACAGAGTTCTTTCAGCATCTGAAAAATGGGAAGTGAAGGAACTGCTTTTACTGCCTTTTCAGGAAGGGGCACACGGATGCAGAGATTGAAGCAATATTTACCAAATATGATCAGGATGGGGACCAGGAATTGACAGAGCATGAACATCAGCAGATGAGAGATGACCTGGAGAAAGAGAGGGTGAGTTGAGCATTAGGAGTGGGATGCTGCCAGCATTGTCTGCCAGTCTGCTCCCCGTGCTGGTTTCCTGCCTCAGAAAAATCTTCTTGTCTCCCTTCACTTTTGCTGTCATTCCTGGCTGGCTGAGCAGAGCTGTAAAAAAGCACACGGGAACTGATAGAGGACAGGAGCTCTTTGGCCTTGACACCACCATCCCCCATATACAGGTGAAGGGTTTTGACATCTTCTCTCTCTCTCTTTCTCCCTCTGGCTTGTGTTTTCACAAAGGAGGATCTGGACCTGGATAGGAGCTCTCTACCACGTCCTCTGAGCAGCCGCAGCTTCCCCCGGAGCTTGGATGACTCTGAGGAGGATGAGGATGAAGACAGTGGACACAGCTCCAGGAGGAGGGGCAGCAGCTCCAGTGGGGTTTCCTATGAAGAGTTCCAAGTGTAAGTCAATCCTTCCGAGGGGGACAAATCTGCATGTTGGGTTTTGGTTTGTTTGTTTTTTTTTTATTGTGGGTTTTCTTCTTTGGGTTATATAGTATTCTCTCCTTGATATTAATCAAATTATTTATGAAAGCAAGTGTTAGGATTTTGTTGTGCATAAGTCACTCCTTTTAGTAGCTTTCAAATAATATCTGAACTGGAAGGGCCTTAGAGAGCCTCATGGGAGTTGGTTAGAATATAGAAAATCAGAATAAACAAAAAAAAAAAAAACCAGCAACAAAACCCCTGTCCTTAAAACCTTGTCACTGAAAAGTCAGAGAAAAGGGTCATGTTGCAATAATGCCAGAAAATACTTCTGTGGTTTTTTCAGTAGTAAACGCTTGAGTTTATTTAAAGTTCAGTGAGAGCTTTAATGGTTGTTTCTAATAAGATTTAAGTTACTCATGAGTGTGTATTTTGTCCGAAGTGATAGATCTCCATATTAATTAATTACAGCAACACCGGCTAAATAAAGAATTATATAACTGGAATCAACAAATTTCCATGATGATGCCCTAAGAGCAGTGAAAGCAGAGTGCAAGATGTACTTTTTTCCCCCATGTGCTTTGCCCCTGTTTTACTTTCTTCCTCTGGTATACCTTATCCCTCCTGGATGGTAGGTTTGTGGGAAGTCAGAGGCTTGGATAACAGTGATGTCTCATCCTTGTCTGCCCTGGTGTTGACATGCTATGACATGCTAGAACAGTGCTGTCTGGGCGGTGTCCGAGTCACTGAAGCTCCCACTTGTTGCCCCCAGGCTCATGAGGCGGGTGGATCGCATGGAGCATTCCATTGGCAGTATCGTCTCCAAGATCGATGCTGTTATCGTGAAGCTGGAAGCCATGGAGAGGGCCAAGCTGAAAAGAAGAGATGTGTTGGGAAGGCTGTTAGATGGAGTGACAGAGGTAAGAAACTCACTCTCTGTGATCTGGTCACAACCTGAATGTCTTCCTTTCTGTTGGCAGTTCCTCCTACTGCCTGGCTTGGCAGGATTGAAGGAGTGGTTGTAAAGAGGAATGGTTGCTTTGGCAGTAGGTGAGTGATTTCAGTTAGGTGTTAGGAAAACATGAAATTTAAAACATGAAATTTTGGGAACATGATTCAAGATTCTGATATGACAACATGTTTTACAGCAGCCCTGTGTCACCATTTAAACCTGTGATCTGGACAGCAGTAGTTGCTGAAGCAGCTCCTCCAATCCTTGGTGTCTGTTGGGATTAATACAATATTTTTTGTGGACTAGTATGTTAGAGTCTATGGGATCCAGTGCAGCCTGCTCTTATTCTCCTTTGTTGCTTCTGGGACTGTGTGTGGCAGGTGGGGGAGGTCACTTCTGTCACGAGAGTGACCTGACTTCTGCTGCTTCCCCTTTCACTCTCTTTTACCTTGAGGGCCCTTTGGAAATGGCCAGTGGGAGAAATGTGTTATTTTTGTAGATGCTAAAATCTGTCAGGTGGAATACAAGTTGTGCTTTCCTAGGTGGCAAACTGGGCATTTAATTTCATCCCTGGAAATAAAACAGTTTGCTGTGAGAGCTGTATCCCCATTAGCCTATGGAAGTACTCATGTGGTATAAGAATTTCTTGTGGTTGTATAGGGTTTTGCCTAGATTCAGTTTGGAAGCTGCACTTCCAGCTCATGTCCTTTAATGTGTTTAGGATGAGAGACTGGGCCGGAGCAGTGAAATCCACAGGGAGCAGATGGAGCAGCTGGTGCGAGAGGAGCTGGAGCGCTGGGAGTCGGACGACATGGGCTCTCAAATGAGCCACCGGCTGGGAACGCCGCTGGGACCGAGCGGCCAGCCGCGCTCCCGGAGCTCGCGGCCATCCTCCTCCCAGTCAGATGGCGTTGATGTAGGAGCAGGAAATGGGGGCAGCAACATCTATGTGTAGCTTCAGCTTTGTAGGAGATCCCACATGTTTCAGGTCAGTATTCAGTCAGCGAATTCCCCAGCACGAGGGGACCGTTCTGATCAGACCCCTGAGGAAGTCTTTCACTGGTGGGTAGAAGTAAATATTCACTCCATAAATCATTTTCAGGCCTGCATAAGCCATGTGTAATGCCAGCAGTGAGAGTGTCACCCTTGGAAACAAAAATGCTGGAAACTGAATGGATAGCAAGTGGGAAAACATCTACCAGGACAGAAATCTGATTCCATAAAAATATTATTGGGAACATTTGCATGAGAGCAGCAAGCTTCAGACAAAATAATGTGCAGTGGCTGACATACTGAGAGGCTATTAATTTTCTGCTTCCTCTTGGAAAGTAAAATTTTTAAAGACTTTCAAAAGCAAATTTTAAAATAATATGCCATCAGTTTTTCTTATTCATTATAACAACTGACAGATAAACCAGCACTTTTTTAAAAATAGGAGTTTCTACTTGTTTTTCTGAGTTATTCTTGGTATACTTAGTATTTTACTTAATTTAAAATATTTTTCCTGTTTTGAGAGGTACATTTCTTTAAGCAGAAGAAAGTGCACTTAGTTTGTACAATTGTAAATTACATCATTCTGTGGTAGAAACTGAATGCATTACAAGTAGCATTTAGCAAGAAGTACTCTTCACACCCAACTAAAATAATAATTTTCAGCTAAGTTGCAAAGTGCCCATTTTTTAATGCTATCTTTTAATGTGTTTCTGGGATAAACATTCCAGAGGTTCTTAGATAACTACAGCTACTTTGCAGAAAATACATTATTTAAAAGCACACAAAATTGAAAACCACTGAGTTTTCCTTGGGTGTGACAGGGAAAGGGGCAGAGAAGTTTCTGACAGGTGTGAAAATCTGATCTTGTGCCATGTGAAGTTCTAATCACATCTCAACGATGTGGTCTGTATTTACATTTAACTAAACTGCTTGTGAAGTGGTTAGCTACATTTCTACATAGACTTTTCTGCCGAGGTGCAACACAGGATTCCTTTGGGAAGGTGTTTGTATTACAATCACTGATTTTTAGTATTTTTAGTATTCCCTCTGCTTTGTGTCATAGAAGCTTTATTTTTGAAAGGACATGCAATGTTGCAATTCTGTTGGTTTCCTGTAGAGACCACCGAGGCAGCGTCTGCAGTTTTGCCTAGGAATGTGTCTCCAAGTGTGGAATGCTGGTTTAGGAGGAAGGCTGTCAGTGGTGCTTTTTTCCTGAAGATGGCAGTACTCTGGTGTTTAAAGACTGAGAGCTGGTGAAAAAGATAATGGGAAGCCACATAATCAGCCACATCTTAGCTATTAGTAGCATATGCAGAGGCGAAAAGGCCAGTTTAACAAAGTGTAAGTGACATGTGTTATGTTGGTGCCTTCTGTTTCAACAAGCAGTTAGTGTCTCTTCATTCTTGTGGGAGTGCTGCCCAGGCAAAGCTTCTATGTTCCATACCTTCTTGCAATGGCATTGCCTGGATGTGTGGAATGCCTTTCCTCTAACCAGGAAACTTGCTAAAACTAAACAGAATTCACACCTTTCCATTTTTGATTTTATGACAAACCATATGCACAGAAATCTAATTAATGTTAGCTGGAGGAAGACTAAATTCAGTACTGGAATTTCTTAGCAGCTGTGTCTTGGGAACAGAATTATGTAGGAGAGCAGGTTGTGGTTCTTGTGTGGGTTATTTGGTCCTGTATTGGGAAGAAATTCATACCCTTTCACAAGAGTCCTCATGAACCTGCAAAAACAGTGCACAGCACAGTGGGGGTAGGCCATTTGTGCAGGGTGAGGGCATTCAGATTAAGCTCTCACTTGCCTTGATTGAAGGGTTTTACACCTCAGAAACCTTTCTGAGGGAAGCTTTTCAGTGTTGAACTGCATTTTTGACTGTAAACAGACCAAAGAGAAACACCAGCTGTCCTCATGGCCATCAGGTGTGCAAGGAAAATAGAAAATACTATACCAAAGCAATTTAAATATACAGAGCCTTGTCTTTATATGCATATCCAAAATATGTGTTTCAAAATGTAAATTCAGTCACTCAGTTCACCTTTCATTTGTACTATATGTTTATTATGAAAATGTTTGCATTAATAGCTGTATTTGTTGGGGTATATTTCTGCAACATGTCGTTACTTGATAACAAACTTCATCTTGAAGTGCAATAAGTTTCCATGGGGTACCCATATGTGTGGACAGTGGGCCTTGCAGTAAGTGCATTGCCACTTGATCAATGTTACAAACATTTTATTGATGCATTTTTCAGTTTTAGATTATAATATCTTTGTCACTTACTACAAAGGTACAGTTATGCATAGTAATGTACAGTGTTTGGTCTTATTTGGAAGCTGTTAATTATGCAAGTCTTCTACAATGATCAAGAATGAGCACTTTATTTCCTAATAAACACTTTATATAACCTACAAAGCAAATACTGAGCCTACACCTGGTTTGTTTATAATGGAACATGAAGAATCCTGCATTTTATTTGTGTTTCTTTTAGCTCATATCTTATTCTCAGATTACCTAATAAAGGGAGCAGAGGGAGTAAATGAACACAGTGGACTGGGCTGATCCTACTGATTCATTGCCCAAGCAGTCCTTTTTTAACACTTTATTTCAGATCTGTGTTTCTGCAAATGCGCAGGTCTGCTTTCTACTACTTCAGCTAGCAGCTCCCACTGCTAGTAACTGTCTCTTCATTAATTGCTGGGTAATTTAAGTATTTTTTTTCTCTATTCCCCCTTCCCCCCGCCTTCTTTCAGGAGAGAATACTATAGCATCTGGAGGGTTTGAATAGAGCTTGAAAAACCCAGGCTGTTATGTAAAACCCGTGGTTCTCTCTGGACAGCTGTATTAATGAAACTGTATTAATGAAAATGGAATTATTAATGCAAATACATCTCAATCTTTAATGAAATACATACATACTGAATTTATTAAGTATACTAAGCCTTTAATAAGTGCACTATAAAAGTCACAGTGTGTGGGGAGTGGGAACTTTACTGATTTATCTATTTATTTATTTGATATTGTGTGTATGCTGTAATATTGCTGATTTTGGAAGATTTCTTCAGGAAGTGCAGTTTGAGGTGCTTATTCAGAGTAAGAGCTTTTTGGAGTAATTCTTCCATGTCCACGGGCATTACTTGGATGTCTTGTATAGTCCAAGATTCTTCTCCAGTAAATCAAAACAAGAAGAAAAATTTGGTCAAAAAACTGAGGAAAAGGGGACATGTATGATTAAAAGTCTGCAAAAAATTGTCACTTGTATAACAAGGACTTCCAGGTTTTAAGCACTGATCATGCAAAATAGGTGCAGAAAGGTGGAGTGGCAGCTTAATGGTTCAGGTGACAGACTGGCATTCAAAGAGTTGTGTTTTATTTGTGTCTCCTCACACTGATGCCTTAGCACACATTCAGCTGCTTCTAGCTTGGATGAAAGGGCTGCTACAAACATGCTGCCTAATCACCAGTAATGCTAAAACACTGGATTTTCCTTGGATTGGAGATTCTGGCAGCTCTTCTGCTTTGTTTCTACTCCAAGGAATAGTCAGGGAGACTAAAACTGCATCCCAGGATGCAAGGAGCAGCAAACTTGTGCCTTCTGTAACAGGCCTGAATTTGGACAAAATGTGAGAGCAGATCCTACAGCCAGATGTTCAGGTGTTTTGGAGCAGGCCTAGCAGCAGTGGGGTACTAGGAAGGGAGCAAGAAGGGTTTTGAGATGTGGGGAGTGTACTGGGTTTGTGTGGTTTTCAAAAAGCCATTAGTAGTCAATGCAGTAAGATTGCCAAAGGATCATGACAGCTTGTATCAGCCACAGTTTTGTTGGTGACATGTTGACAAAAGTTCAGACCAGTAATTTTATTCATTTGCAAAGTCATGGAAAGAGTTAAAGATTAGCAGAGACTCACAGGGGACAAAGTGCTCATTAAGGAATTACTCATGAAAAACAAATCAACAATATTCATCTCTTTCAGAGTTAGAATTTGTTTTAACTCCTGGTCAGGTTTTAAGTCTTCTAGTTTTGAAAAAAATAATTTCCAGTGAGAAAAGTTAGGCTTTGTTTTCTGGGAAGTCACAGTAGATGTGTTTTCAAAAAAAAAACCTAACACTGTCAAAAATGCCTGTGTGTGCTGCTCAGGCTGCTGCTTTTCACTGCTGCATGGAGAGTGGTGTGATGTAGACTCCAAGAAACACTCAAAGGAAAAGAATGCTCCTTTCAGGCTAAACCTGAAATTACCAATTCATTCCAAGGTCTGAGGTAACCGCACTTCTGTACTGCTACTAGCTTTTCCTGGAGCTGAGGTGGATGCTGTCAGCCTGAGTTCCCCAGCTCCTCAGTTTCAGATGTCTGTGCGCAGAAGATGCAGCCACGAGAAACCTTGTGCTGCAGGAAGGCAGAGCTGGCAAGCACTGGAAAGAAATTTCCATCTCTCTCAGTGTTCCTATGATGCCACAGCTGTGTAATAGAGGCCAGCTGTGTTTCCTGGCTCAGTTATTTGAAACAGGTTTGACAAGGGCTTTAACTGTCTTAACTGATTGTAATTTCATGTCCAGCAAGAAGAGGAGAGAGATGTCAATTGGGAGAGGAAAAGCATTTACGTTCAAGATACTTCTCCCTTTTTTTATGGCACAGGAAGATGAAAATAAGATCTATCTGACAGGAGAACTAATTTTTTTTTTTTTAAAAAAAGGGAAATATTTAGGCTGAAAGAAGTTGTTCATATCTGTAAGATCCATAATCACAGATTATTTAGCAAATAAAAGTGTGTCACATGGAGGATCCAGGGGAGCAACTCCAGGAGCCTTGGTTGGCATTGCTGCTATTTGCATTACCAGATTATATACTCTCTCCTCCTGCTATATAGCTTTTGTATAAAAAAACACAGCTGAACACAAAGTGAACACTTGCACTTCCCTGAATATTCAAGAGACAGCAAGTTGATGTTTATAAAAATGGCATTTACCAGTTAATATGAGAAAGCTGTTCATCTTTTTTTAAATTTTCTAAATTATGATGTTTTCTTTTAGAAGATCATTTGTATGAAGTGTGTGGAAAACCTGGCACTGTAGCATGGAATACTGAAAATTTTTATCCAGGAAATAAAAGTTTGAATACTTGTAGTGTATATCAGCATCCCAGAGAAAATTTGCAAACTGAAGTAACTACAAATCCATAACACGGAATCATTCTGATGTTGCTATCCTAGTTGTTTTCTTTCTTCCCTTTCAGTGGATATATTCATTATCATTATTGTTTGACAGCTTCCAGTGTCCACCTGACATAAATTCTTTCTGTACTTTATGGTGGTTTTTTCCAATTCTTGCTCTGTACTGGAAAAACACAGAACTGCAAACCTTTTTATTGATTTATTCTCTGTTTTAGTGGAGTGCTAACCTACAAGTACATTTCTCAATGCCTCTGGAAAACCCAAATGAAACAAATGTTTTTCCTCACAGGTTGTTAGTATGCAGCCTACAAGGCTCTTATTTTATCCACCAGCATAGAAGTCAAGAAAGATGATGACATTTTATTTATGCAGCCCAAAGCATCCAGACAGTGGTAGTGGCTTCATCAGTAAAACATGTGGGCCCATGGTGAGAACGAGAGGGTCAGCAAGCACTCAGACACTTGTTAATTAAATCTTTGCTTTTGAACAAATGCAACTTACAAACCCTTGGTACACTGTGAAAAATAAGTACCAATCCCCTAGTCAGTGTCATGGGCCTTTTACATGTGTCATTTGAAAAGTCAGCAGCCTCTGTCATTCAGTTGTTCCAAGTATGTGTATTTTCCATGCTGTCTAGCCTTCTGCCTCCTCATCAAAAGCCATTCATACTGCTCTGCCACCAAGCTTACTAACCTGCTTCAAAATTCACTGAAACAATTCTTTATTCCAGAAGAATTGTTCCAACAATTGTAATTATTGATAATTAAATATTTTTAGCACAAATAAGAAGCTAAAAGGGTAGAATTGAATACCAGTGATTTCAGTTTTGCCAGTGCCCTTCTGCATATTAAAAGCTCTCAATTAATACGGATTTACTCCTTAGGCTGCTCTTAGCATTAAGTTGCAGTTTACTTTTTTCTTCTTCTTAATAAATAAATATAGAGCTCTGAATTATGGCATTCCAAACCTGTGTAAGTTTTAAATATTCTTCCTGGGACATGACCACTTCAACTGGGTGATATATTAGCTGTATCTAGCCTGTTTGCTATCTATTCTTGGCTTAATGAACATGCACTACAAGGAAAAAGCAATTACTTCCAGTTACTGGCACAGAAAATATCAAAACCTTAGTTTCTGCACTGAAAGCAAATAAAATTTAAAAGTGGTATCTTTTAAGATTATTATCATAAAGTTTCATTTAAACTAATTGAAATAAATTAGTTTAATATCTCTTTAGAAAGTATCAACCCTCAGCTTGTGATTTATTTTAATTGAAGTTGTTCAGACAGAGGATGTAAAGAAAAATCTTCAACTAGATTGAGTACTCTGATACCTAAATAAAAGTAAGTCTTATGTAGTTTCCAGGAGTACAGATTATATCACTTGCTGTCAAAGTGTACTCAAACTAAAGAGGAATTTTTATACATGAAAACACATTTTCAGTTGAGTTAGTGATATAATCAGAATCATTAAGTTCTGTACATCACAGTTTTTAAATGCTAAATGCAAATAACAAAACAGTCTCAGGAAAACAATGGTATCAGGCAGTTCTGTCACTTTTAAGCCTGAGCAATGCAAGAGTCTTAACACCCTAAACTACTTAATCCTGTTACCTTCTCTTGCTAAGATCCTGCCGAAAGGAGCAAATGTCAGGGATAATTCAGCTCCCAAGCCAGTCGCAGAGGAAAGCAGGGATCATTTCAAGACCAATTTGGAGCAGATTAATGAAAAAAAGGCTTAATGAGGCATGGACCCCTCAAAGAATGCTGGACAAATCCACCCCCGATGAGGGTGGGGAGATAAGAAAGATTGTGAGAAACGAGTCAGGACCATTAACCTTGGGCTATGAAGGAGGTTCTTGAGAGTCTAATTCTTGTCACAAGGTCAAGCTTTTACAAAGCAATTAAGGATCCCCATAATATCAACCTACAGGCACACACACACATACTCAAAGCCTTCTGACCTCGGGGACTCTGGACTCATTTCCGTTCTCTTGATTGTCTCTCCCCCTCTGCTTGCACTGCTTGCAAAATACACCTTCGAGTAATGGTAGGAATGATGTGTCTCCTGCCTTGTGCAAGAAGTTGTAGTTGTAGTTGTACTAATCTGTAATTGTACTTGTGCTGATCTGCCCTAAACTAAAGGGGACAACCAGATATATCATAGAATAATAGAATTTTGGGATTAGAAGAGACTTTAAAGATTGCCTATTGCCACCTCCCTGCCATGGGCAGGGGCACCTTTCACTAGAACATGTCATTTGCTGTGCTGTACAAAAAGGGAAAAATAAAACTTTAATTTAAAGCCTATAGTGTGACAGAGAAGTCTGACGTTACTACTACTGTAATTTCTGCCCATGCAACTGAGGTATAGAATTTTACAAGTTTACAGAATAAAGTATTGGAAAGTACTGGAAGGAACATTTCTTTTATGTAAATACATTCTTAGAGATGACCAGCTGCTGAAATAATTGTAGAAAGCAAGAAAAGTATAGGAGTTTTGTGGTAAATATTATCTGTGCAATAAGGTGTCAAAGCCTGTTCAAAATGTGAGTAATTCAACTTAGTTTGATTATTTTCTTTCTCAGAAGCTACTGCTATATACAGAAATAATTTTCTTTTATGACAGGAACACAATCTGTGTGATCATGCTTATAACTTGTTGAAATTACAAGGACCAGCTGCAATTCAATCAGCTGTAGATTTCTATATATTAAAATCTGGGATGATTTTCTTTTTTCCAAAAGCAAAAATTCCACTTTCATTTCTTTGTAGTACCAGGACCTGGTACTCCAGTACAGGAGTTCCTGTAATTTTTTTTTTAATAACAACATAACTCTTATCTCCTCACTGCTTCCTTTGGCTTAAAAAGGGCTAAGCTAAAGGTACAGAACACATTCTACCAATTTTTGAAGCTTTTATTTTCCGCAGCAGCATGACATCTTACCAACAAAGCAATACAATAATTAGCGAATCCTAATGTCATATGTATGGAGATCAAATTTACAACATATGTAAGCTGCCCATTCTGGAGGAGTGGTGTAACTGAAGGCAGAGAGACCTTGAGAGTGTGGAGGATCTGGAGGGGAAGCATGTGAGGAGTAGCTGAGGTCATTTGGTCTGTTCAGCCTGGAAAAGAAGAGACTGAGGGGAGGCCCCAACTCAGTCCACAACATCCACAGCATGAGAGGAAGAGGAGGGGCAGGCCGCGATCTCTTCTCTGGGGAGACAATGACAGAACCCAGAGGGAATGGCCCGAAGCTGCGTCACGGAAGTTTTAGACTGAATATCAGGAAAAGGTTCTTCACCCACAGGGTGTTTGGGCACTGGAACAGGCTCCCCAGGGAAGTGGTCACGGCACCAAGCCCAACAGAGTTCAAGAAGTGTTTGGACAGTGCTCTCAGGCACAGAATGTGACTCTTGGGGATGTCCTGTGCAGGACCAGGAGTTGGACTCACTGATCCTTGTGGTCCCCTCCCATTCGGGGTATTCCATGTTTCTAAATCTCTTAAAGAAATAAGGTCCTGTAAGATTTTTTTGTGGCCTATACAAGCTGGGGCAAACACTACAGGAGCAACAAGATGAACAGTAACAACCCAAGAAAGAGCTGTAAAGTTGTCTTCTGTGCATCATTATGCATTTACTATGCATAACTCTGCAGATAAAAAAGAGATGAGCTAGCATTGCTGCACGTGGCCAGGGAAAAGCTGGCCTGCCAGGAAGTGATTGCTCCAATCTATGGACTTTTACAAAGGTGCTGCCATCCTGTTTAGTCATGCTCTTGAAATTGGTCCCCATAAAAATTACTAAGAACTACTCTTGATAGCAGCACTAATGAGACAGTGAAGATGACTTGCAGTTTTGCAGAGGACATACAAATTTCAGGAAAGGATCATGGGAACTGGCCCTGTAAGAACAACACCTTTATTTAAAAACACAGTGCTCCTACCGCTTGACTGAGGCAAGAAAGGCTTGATGGCATCAATAAGTACATTCTAGAGCAGTAATGATTCCCAAATAGAAAAAGGCACTGGGATTAAAGGAATTTTGTCCCTGTCTCACATATCCTGTGACCACATAAGCAGCTGAGATTGTGTTGGTGTCCTGAGAAGCATCATTTTAGACTTAATTTCTTCCTGGTGAAGGTAGGTGCTAATTAAAGTATGGAACTATTTATTTCAGGTTAAGCCACTAAATATTAAATATAGTGTTTGACAAGATCATAGCTAGAACATGCAGAAAGACTGATTCAGTCTCTTGAAGAAATGAACAGCTGTACACTTTTTCTTTTCCTCTGTGGCACAGAGGAGTGAGCCATGCTAGACATTTTGACAGAGTAAATTAATAGCAAGTATTTAATACACAAGGATGGCATTCATGTTGTTGACTTGGGTAATAATAAAAGTACAAAGAAATGTCTCCTTAAAAATAATCAAGTCAGTTGCACAATCCATTCAGCAAACTGCTGAACAGTGGGAATTGCGCCTTTCCCTCTGGTTTTAAGAGAACTTCTTCATGAAGTGCAGTTTGAGGTAGGCGATGGTGAGGAAGATGAGTGTCATGCAGGCCAGAGCCAGGTGGTTCTGCCACAGCCCCCAGGTGCTCATATCGATGCCTTGACTCTCCAGATACTCCTCTCCAGTACATGGCCTGCAGATAAATGCACACACATTGATAAGCTTAGTCCCTTGATAACCCACTCAGCATGATCTAGGAAGATCTGTAGAAATTGTAATGTGGTTGCAATGGGCAAGCACCAGCTATGTGTCAGTGGTTAATTTTCCATCGTAAATTTGCTTTTCTTGTAGCTCCAGTTTCACATAGGAAGCTGAAATGGATTTTGTGAGGGTGTACAATTGTGTGTGTGTGCATAGCTCTCACTAAATACAGTTTGAAGAAAGGTAAGAAGCATAATATGAGGTATTTCTAGTGTCATAAATACTAAATATGCCAACAAGCAGAATGTTCCATGCAGTGGAATGCAAAAATCCAATCAAAGGTTCCTTTTCATGAAAAAGCTCACAGATTCTCTGATCACCAGTGAGTATCTCTGATACTCACACTGATGTTCTAGGACTTCTAAGGCTGCTGATGGTGGGATTCATTTCAGTGTACCACAATACTTACATGCGGCCTGTCTCTCGATAGCTACCGCCACTGTTTAACACTGTGCTGTTACTGCTGCCACAGAAGTTCAGACCAGGCAATTCATTGATCTGTAAAGCCTTTTAAAATAAAAGAAACAATGACAACAGAAATTAGTAGGTAAAGAAGTGATACATTATCAAGATGAGAAATAATGCAATTAGAGTCATCCTAAAAATGTGCTGGTATCACTATTATATTGGCCAAATCCTCATTTTTTAGCAAAGTAGCAGAGTTTTTTTTTTCTTTTAAGAGAGGGATGTATATAGCCTGTACACACCTAGTAAAGCATGCACCACAACAGGCTTTACCACTTCTCCCAGGCCAGGCTATTTCTGCACAGGCACAGTAAAGCCCAAATTTCTCTGCAAAACATCACTCTGACTTAAAGTTTTGCAAATTAGGAGAAAAGCTTTAGCAAGTTTTTGTTTGATTGATGGAAAAGACAAATAGGAGATTTTTACTTCTTTGGGTGGGGATGACATTATTCTTTACTTTGAAACATTTCTGCTAGCTGAAGTCCAGTGAATGTAGTAGTTGTGTCTCTCATATGAGGTATTTCCAAACTACTGAAATGAGCTCTTCTCAACAGCAATTGGTGCTAGTTGATGAGAAGCCCTTCTTGTTTCAAGACACTGCACAATACTCCAAGGTTGTTGTACCTAATTAGCTTTCCTTTTCCTTGTTAGGCCACCAAGTGTGAAGATTTCATTGCCACGATTCAAGACATTCCTTTCTAGCAAACCATTTCCAGGTTTGTACGCAGGAAATCAGAGCACTTACTGTCATTCCATAGCGAGGGATGCTAAAATATTTGAGCCAAGAGAGCCAGGCCATGACGCTTGTGAGATTGACCAGCAACCCAGAGAAAATCTAGAGGCAGTGTTTACCCAAAAAAAGCCATAACAAAAAGAAAAAAAAACAGATTACAAATTACATGCTTTTATCATGGGTCCTTCTCTAGCTCTTCCCACATGCTTCCTTTCTAGGGGTCCCACATAGGTTCACGTGAACTCTCTGCTGCTCCTCAGTGTGGAACTGCTCTGGGTTTTGCCTGTGTGCCCTGAGTCTGAGGCAATGTGGATTTTGGCTGTAGGTTCAGCTCTGCCTCATCATAAGTGCCAATCTCCTGACTGTGGCTGTGTGTTGCCCAGTTTAACATGCCCAAGGTGGGGCCTGCAGCTGGGGAGGACAGCTGGGCTAGTGGTCTCAGAAAACAGGGCCTGCACGTCATGCTCTCAGCCAGACACATTTGCCTTTCACAAAGTTAAGGGAGAGAGGATGAAATGTCTAAGGGGCTTTCTTACTTTCCAGGCAGTTTTCTGTCTGCTAGAGCCCAGAGAAGAAGTCAGAGGAACCGCTCTCCTCCTCACAACCAGCCCTCCAGCCCCTAACTTCTTGTTTTTCCAAAGGACAAATATTCCACCCCACAGCATCAGGATACTCAAACCAGAACAAATCAGGATATGTTAACCCCAACAGACTTTTTGCAGAATTCAGCTGAACTCCATGCTAGTAGGATTTCTGGATTTCAGCATTTCTGGGATTTCATAATCCAGACCAGAGAACTGAAAAGTGCTACTCACAATCATAAAAACAAATGCAACAGTCGAGAGTAGGTTTGCTATAGTGACCACGCTCTGTCCTGCTGCAATGGCAAGTGCCATGGAAGTGGCTGTGTAGGACACCATCATAAGAGTGAACATCATTATGAAGAAGGCTTCTGCTGTTGGTTTCAAACCTTAAAGATCAGAATAAGAAGGGCTTCAGAATGATCCTGCTGAAAGCTCTGCCATAACCTGAACACTATCGTGATTTTCCTAGTGTGTCCTGCTTTCAAATTACATCTTGTCTGCCAGCACAGGCTGTGTCACTGTGACCCAAGACTGCTGTGGTGCCTGTGACAGCCCTTATCTGTCTATCTTGACAGTGGAAGAAGATAGGATGAATAAGTAGTATGCCCAAAACTGCAGTAAGACTGAAGGTAGTAGAATGTGTGGAAGTACTGTACTTCACACATCCATCGTGGCTGCAAGTTGTCCATCAAAGGAGAAACTTCCAGTGCACTTCCATGAGAGGCAGCTGTACATTATTTCACTAGTTTCCAGCAGAGAGCTCTCCTAAAAAATCTAGCAGCTTTGAGGCGGTTATGGATTCAGTAGCAAGGTCTGTTTCTCTCCAGTTTTACAGTTTGAGAGCCTCTTGCTGATGTGGCCTTGTTTCCTATTCCTTAGGGTAAAAACTCAGACCAAAGCCAACAAATTGGCATTAATTCACACAGTATTAAGATCTTAAAATAAAACCTTTTCTTTTAGATATTCTTGCAAGGATCAGAAAAGTATCTTGTAAGAGTCATCAGAAGCCAAGAAGGCCATAGATGAAAAGGAATAAATCAAAACCATGTTGTAAACGTTATGGCTTCCTTCTAAGGACAGTGAAGATGAGACATGTCACAGATTCTCTGATGAATGTTTTAATCTTTGTGTCTTTTCTGTAGAAAACAACATGGTGTGCTAACAGTAAGCTCAGTAGCCAATGCCACGCCAGTGTAGGGATTTAGCTCATATAAACATCTGTGTATGCATACACATCTGTAAGATGCACATGCCATGATTTATTGGGGGGGGTGGAGTGAGACTGTAGAAGACCATACTTGCCTAGCATGAAGTAAACTATGCAGGTGAAGATGATGCTGGGCATGGTCCTTATGGGTATTAAATCAGCCATTAGCTTTGCTATGAAGTATGCAGATGTTCTGTAGTACCCACTGATATATTCATGCCTGGAACACAGAGATAGGTACAGCGCACTACAAATTTAACCATTAAAAACCAGTTTGATTTTCACCCCTTGACAAATGTATTCTAGCTCAAACTAGAAGAAAATCTTTTATACTTGGGCTATAATGTAGCTGTCCAGTAAGCCTATACAGTATAGAACTGGTGACATTTTCATATGCAAGTGAACATGGGTATTTGTGCACATAATTTTTAGTAAATTTATGTCTCATGTCTTCGAGACAGAGTGTAAAGTTTGAATAATTTTCATATTTTATACAGCATAGCTTTAAAGAATCCAGTTAGATGACATTTATTGCCCTCACTAGCAAGTCACGCATTATTAATCAATGCCAACATTGAGTATTCAAGGGGTTTTTACCAACTGTGTTAATAATATTACACTCTGAGCCAGTTGTAATCATAGGCACCTTTTGAGGGGTTTGCAGACAACTGACTGATAGACTAAGAGAGTATATTTGCAATGAGCACTATCATTAAAATAATTGGAAAATTCTGCACTAACTGTACTTAAATGACATTTACAGCATGTCAGAAAAACTCATAGTCTAACAGCAGAGTCTGGTATCTTTTTTGTATGTTTTACTTACATAAATATCTTCTTTTCTACAACAAAGAGTTCAAGAGCTGAGACACTGCTGAAACACTGGTTGGTGGTCAGAAAGAACATTGCACCCACTCTGCAAAATAGCAAAACAGTGAGCTGTTATTTAACATGGGATGTAAATGTAGTGTTTCCACAACAGAGTACATAAATCCACTTGCAGTTCATGAAGTTTAGTAATGTTTGACCTTCCATCCCAAAATCCATGGAAAACTCTTAGCTATGAGTCTGAATCTGTAATAAGCCTGACATAGATGTGGTACAGTCATTATTTGTTTTTGGCATGCAATGATAGCACATTCTCTGATGCAGCCAAAATATAGAAAATCAACTGAGGTTTCTTTTGAGGGGCTGTGGTTTGGTTTTTCCTTGATGTAATTTCCTTCACATTCTCAGATGGTGAAGCATTTGTCTGCTGCAAACAGAGAAGAACCAAATAAAGAGTGTGAGAAGTACTTTTAACCTTTTCCACAAAAATTTAAGGCACTTCCTACTCAATTTAAAACTGGGTTGTTTTTAAACAAATGCTATGAAGTCTTATGGGATTAAGAACCCAGAGGTTTCATAGTGGCAAACTCATGTGTCAGGTCAGGCCAGGTCATACAGCTGTCAAAATTATACATAGAGCAGCATAATTTGAAAATCTCTTACTGCTGGTAAATTCAAGTGTGTGAGTAGAAACAGTTGCAAGGTTACAACTTTAGCTACCTAGGTTTATGTATCCACAAGTCTGTATATTTTAACACCCTCAGTTCTGCAGGGACCTTGCTAAAGGAACAAAATCACATCTTCACTTCCAATTCACACAGGCTTGGCCTTACTGATGTGAAGGGAAGCATTTGCTTTCAAGAGGTATTAAGCTCCTTTGAAGGGAGCTTTATCAAATTTTCAAACATCCATTGCCTAGACTGACTGACCTGTTCTGTAGTCCAGCAGAGTTCTCCTCAAGCCCAAAGAAGATGGCACCTACAACCAGTCCCAGAAGAGCTGTAATACCAAGCTAAATGGGAAAAGGAGAAAAGAGGAGGGGAAGTATCATTCTCATTGCTTCAAAGGTTTTCCTGAGTGCCAGGATGAGGATGACAGTTTATTCTCATGCTCCACAGTGTGTGGTTACTGGGCTCTATCATACATCTTACCCATGGGATTGTTTGTAATGAGATGCTACAACAGGGCTACAGATATGCCGATATTTGCAGTCTGTAACTATTTAAATAGCAGAGATAACAGGACTTACTTAAAAGACTGAAGTGGGTGCATCACAGTTTTTAAATGCTAAGTGCAAATGACAAAAAAAATCTCAGGAAAACAATGGTATCAGGCAGTTCTGTCACTTTTAAGCCTGAGCAATGCAAGAGTCTTAACACCATAAAGTATTTGATCCTTGGTACCTTCTCTTGCTAAGATCCTGCCGAAAGGAGCAAATGTCAGGGATAATTCAGCTCCCAAGCCAGTTGCAGTGGAAAGCAGGGATCATTTCAAGACCAATTTGGAGCAGATTAATGAAAAAAGGCTTAATGAGGCATGGACCCCTCAGAGAATGCTGGACAAATCCACCCCCGATGAGGGTGGGGAGATAAGAAAGATTGTGAGAAACAAGTCAGGATCATTAACCTTGGGCTATGAAGGAGGTTCTTGAGAGTCTAATTCTTGTCACAAGGTCAAGCTTTTACAAAGCAATTAAGGATCCCCATAATATCAACCTACAGGCACACACACACACTCAAAGCCATCTGACGTCAGGGACTCTGGACTTGTTTTACCTCCACACCAGCCCTCATTACATAATTCCCTCATTATATAAAACATGATGAAGTTAATTTATACCCCTGGCTACTGGCCCCTCCTGAATTGCTGAGAATTGCAGTGGGAGTTTTTGTGGTGCTGTGGCTGCAGAGTTTGGCCCATGAATTAGGGGATTCCTGAGGATTAGTCACTCTGCAGACAACAGCTGGACTTCATTTTGAAATCAATGTGCAACTCTGAAGGAGTCAACATTTTTGGTTCCGATCCTTCAGAAAAAGCAGCACCGACAGAGCCAGTGTTTATCTTTCATGGTGGGTGCTGAACCCCATTGTGGACTTAATGACACCTTGTCCAGAAGACATCATCACCAATGTGAACAGTCAAATAACCAAACAGCACACACATTACAAGGTTGCAAAAAAATTTTTGCACTTTTGCCAGCTGCCAGCACTTAGTTTTGTGCTGAAGTTTAGTGAAGTACACAAATACAGTCTGTTAACTTTTCCGGGCGGGGGAGAGGATTTGAGGCCAAACCCCACAGTGCCAAGCCTGGGCAATTAGAGTCAAATCTGAAGAATGCTCTCGAGCAAACGTGTGAAACTTCTTGGGACATAATGTGCTCCTGGCTGGGAGCAGCAGAATACCCTGCTGGGACAGGTCTTACCTCCCAAAGCCTTTCAGTAGTCCAAAATTAATTACTGAACAGTCCCACATTTGGGAGCATTCAGAACACCTTTTATCCCCAGACTCCTAGACCTTGAGCACTCTTCCTTCAGATGCTTACTGCAGTCAAGATATCAAGAGGCAAAACCATCCCCGTGACTTATCTAATACTCCAGGAGCCAAATAAATTCAACGTATATCACAAAACCATAGATACAAATAGCCTTACCTGAGCTATGGAAGCCTGAGGGTTTCCTATCAGGTTTTTAAATGTGCGCCTGGACACCCATTTCAGCTGGTGGAGGAAGGAATTGGCATATGTGATTTGCCGGAAAAGTGGTTTGGTTTTCTTTTTGTTTCCTGAAGAAATGCTCTCTAAATGTGCTTTTGTTTCTCGGTAGTAGGCAGAGTTGGAGTATTTTTCTGCTAATTGCTCCGCCAAGGTCTTATCATATTCAGAGCATTCTTCAGTTCTCTCTGCTGGAAAGATTAAAAAACCAGAAGAATTAAGATGTACACATAGTTCCAGTGATTCACTGCACTCAGTCCCATAGGACAGTTCAAAAGAGTTGGTATAAATAAGATAAAAAAATCTGTGTTTGCCTGTGCAACCTGTCCCACAAGCAGCAGCAGCCTCTCAGCTCTCTGGCAAGGCAAACCCTTGTCTGCCCATGGAGTTGCAACATGGCTTTTAATCAAAAAGTGATTTTACATCCCCTTTGTCCCCAGAGGCTTCTGTAAGTGATCTGTTTCACAGATAAAGACATAATCCTGGACTTTCCAGACTTTTAGATCCAGGTAATCCTGCATGTATCCACTTTGGTCATATATAAATTTCAGCTGGACCTCCTTTTTTTCTTAACTGTGGTATAGTGTGAACTTTTGCAATGACAGATGTAATGTGTCATATCTGCCAGCTGTAATATTTGCCAGACCCTGATCAGAGCACTTTTGTAAAATGATGGCTGCTCCTTTGGTAAAGGTATAGTGAAAATGTGCTTGAGCACTCAGCATATTCATTACTTCATTTGCCTTTTCACTCCTGTGAAAAGAGAGTAAGTTATTACTGAGTGGCAGCAGAGAAGTATAAGAAAGCATGCTCCAAAAATTAGGTGAGAGCTGATTCATTAGTTTGGGGATAATTTCTGCCTTAGCACAACTGCAGAGAAACATCAGATGAGCAGTGGTACCCTATGTCTACCTCTTCCCACCCTGCTCAGAGGAAGGAAAACAGTAATTTCCTAACAGAAAAGTTGTTACATTAGGTAAAATAGTCAAGTCATAACTGCATCAAATTACGTCCTTAACAGGAACAATTATCCTGGTTTATCATCTCCGCTTCTGCAGGATTTCAGCTGGTTTGCCTTGAAGAGGAAAGAAGTTATTTCTGTGTGCTGAGAGTTACCAAAACAGTTTTTTAATCCCCATTCCCACACATGTGAGGATAACTTGACTCAGCTATGGGTTTCATACCTGTGTTACTGTCATCAGCCTTGTTCATTGCCACGGCGGTGGAGTCTCCATTGATGACGTCCAGGAAAAAATCGGCGGGGTTGTTGTAGGGCTCGCACTGGTAGCCTGTGGTGACATTGACACTGTGGTGACACTGACACTGTGGTGACAGCGTTTTGAGCCCTACATGGGTTTGTGTGACTGGCCAAGGACCATGCTTGGCTGTCAAGAGCACAGCCACACGTCCTGCCATGGAGCAGCCTGCCCCAAAGCATGGCAGCCTTTGGGAAGTCCACACTTTCTAGAGGGATGAGCAGCACTGCCAAGCAGCACCATCAGCAAAAGCAAGGTGACAGCTAGCCCCGTGCTCTTCCCAGCCCTAGCCCAGGCTTCCTCTAATTAAGATGTACCAGGAAGAGCTCACCCAAATCCACATGTGGGCCAAGAGGAGAAACACCCAGAGAAGTGCTCAGCCTGTTAAAATAGTGGACCTTCTTGGACACACCGTGTCCAATTCTGGCCCAGAGCTATGGGCATTGCGCTCAAGCTGGTGCAAACCAAAGGATGGCCCTGCTGGAAGTAGTGCTCACCAATGGACTGAAAGTACTCGATGGCGTGCTGGGCTGGCCCATGGTACAGCACTCTCCCTGCAGCCAGCAGTGTCAAGCTGTCAAACAGTCGGAATATGGAGTACCGAGGCTGGTGGATGGAGAAGATGATTGTCCTTCCTTGTTTTGACATCCTGAATGTGAAGAATGACAGAGATGTCAGCTTTGCAAGTTGATTCAGTGTTTAGAAAAGAGCGTTTGAAAGTTAAGTCTTTATGAAGTCTGATTAACTTGGTATGCCAGAGAAGGAAGAAGAAAGAAAAAAAAAAGAAAAAATATATTTAGGTCGTATTTACAGTGTCTGTATGAGAAAAGAATTCTCACTTTGGAGAGAGAGAATTCGTTCAGTTTTTTTCCTACTCTGTTCACATCCTTGGCTCACTGGTAAATAATTACATGTCTGAATTCCCTGTTTGCTCATTTGAACTGTAATTCAAGTCAAATACAACTGAAGTCTAGCAGAGCGGAGTGCTGAGAACAGGAAGCTGTTTCTAAGGCCACCACCTTTTCAGCAGCAGTAGGACAGCATTAGCAGTGCTGGAATCAAGTCCCGTGGTTGGCTCATCCAAGAACAAGATGGCAGGATCCGTGATGAGCTCCATCCCAATATTGGTCCTTTTTCGCTCTCCTCCAGACACCCCACGAGTGAACTGGGTACCAACCTAATAAAAAAACCAAGAAACTGGTCTTGTTTGGCCCAAGGAGAAATCCTTCAACAAACGGTATTGCACCCACATGGCAGTCTCTGGGGAGAGTTGTGAGAAATTCTGGCTCTACACTCAGAAGCAGATGTAAATGTTATCTTACACACAGCCTTGTTCTTAATGTTAGCATTACTTGAGGTCTTGTCTTTTTCTCCAACCACTAACTTTCACTTTCACCTTTGCCTTTGCCTTTCTTTTTACCTGCAATGTAGTACCATATGGCAGCATCAGCACAGTCTGTACAAGTCTCCATACAGAAATGTCACTAATTATTTAATTGCTGAAACATCCTGTTGAAATTGACTTTTTTTCTTTTAAATCTGCCATGATGACTCATTTGGTTAATTAATAAACCACTTACTACATTTGAAGTAACATGTTTACAGGCCTTACCTTGGAATCTGCAACTTTGCTCAAACCCAGTTCCTTGATGATCTGATTCACTCGTTCATTTTTCTCCTGTTCCTTTACTGACTTTGGCAAGCGGAGTGCCGCTGAGAACTTCAGATTTTCTCTTACAGTCAGGGTTCCCATGACCACATCATCCTTCATTTAAAAAATAGGGGTAGATACTTGGTGGTTGCTCAGCAGTTTCTATTTATTCCTCTGAGAACTGTATCTACCTATGTTTTATGCTGTCCCTGCATGCAGAGGGACAGTAGCAGCAGCCAGAACATGCAGTAAGGTGCATCTTCAATGCCCGTGTCATGGAAGACTTTGTATTTCATGCATGTAATTATATTTGCCTTAATTCATAAAGCAACGCCACATAGGAAACAGTGTCCATCATGAATGATATAAAAATATATAAACAGACAAGCATTGAAAACAGTCCCTTATGTATTCTTACCTTATTCAGTGTTTTGGAGGTGTTGAGGGAGAGACTCAGGGGCTGAAGGGACTTAGGGAGCAGCTACAGCTCAGGTCATTCCCACAGTGTGTGTGCCCGTGTAGCCTCAGCCCACCGCAGGTGAGAAGAGGGAGAAAAGAGGGAAGGTAAAGAGAGGTTGGGTCCATGTGGGTTAGGGTGGTGGTGTTCAGCATCCAAACTTGTTTGGTCAAAGGAGGATGGAGGGGAGGTTTTAAGATATCATTTGCCTGTCTCTTGCAAAGGGAATCTGCCAGTTGTGGGAAGTTGAGATTTACATGTGGTTTGAGAGGCCACCTTTCTGTAACATGTTGACATAATTTTAAGGAGTTTTCATTGATTCTTGGATGAAGGCAAGGTATTTGCAACAAAGCAGCAACTTCTTACAATGGAATCCACAGATAAAAGTTACTTACCTGTACTACATAGCCAGAGGTACATTTAAAGTTGGCGGGCTGAGGAGCTCCATTGATCAAAATGTCACCAGAGAGTCCATGGGGGTCCTTCCTTGCAGCCAAAATGTCCAGTAGCCTAAAGGAAAAGTTGGTTACTTTGTCAGATGAATGTACAGGAGGCAAAGCTCTCTGAACTTCAAACCCAACTCATGGAAAGAACAGCTACATAAAAGCAGATCAAATTAAATTTCTGCAATCTAGAAAACCCCCAGCAACTTTCAAGGACTGAGTTTCTTTTGTCCTGGTTTCCTAAGGAAATGAGATCCATGCAGGTCCATGTCCATTTTTTCAATAATTTGAGTTTATCCTCAAGCTGGTTACACATTAGCAGAATGGTGAATAAGGAGTGAGTATCAGTAAACTGTGGACTAAAGCTGAATTTCACCTTTCTCATATAATCTGTCTTTTGGAATTCAAGTATTTCTCAGAAAACAGTGAGACTTATACAGCCCTAAATAAAAACTCAATCTTTCTCTGAAAGAGAAGGCCACTACTGCTAAATGTGTACAATTTCACTTTCTCCTTGGTGCAATTTCTGTGGAGGGTGAAGGGATCACTTACGAAGATTTACCACTGCCAGTGGGTCCCAAAATTGCATTCAATCCCGGTTTCATGATGCCACTGTAAGAAAAAATGGATAAGTTTTACCTAATAGTTAGGGTGAGGTTATTTCTTTGTCTTTTTCAACTGGTAGACCAGTGTAATTTATCCGTACAACTACTTTCTGCATGCCATTAATTTTGGAATTAATGAAGCTGCCTAATCACAAGCAATATTTAAGATCAGACTTCACCTTAACTTTTTATTCTTAATTCAAGAAAAACTAATAATCATATAATAGAACAGAAACATGACTAAAATGTAGCAAAATCTGTACATGTATTTTTACCACATGGGTCTCTACAAGAGAAGCACACACTTGCTTTAACCATACTCAGTTCTAAAGGTATTATTCTCTCAACAGAGAGAATAATAGTCCCTGTAGTCAGAATAAACTAGGGATTTGTCTGTGCTTAAAATGTAATAGATAGTTTCTCTTTATCTGACATTAAAGCCCCATGAAACTCAAAAGCCAGATGGCAAATGTCACAAATGACCCATGTTAGTCAACTGAGGTACCACAACATATGGCTTTTGAGGAAAGCAATAAAGCCTTTAAGAGCTCATGTTTTGTGGAAATTCCCTGGGCAAAGAGTAGGATAGAGCTACAAAAAAGGGTAAGTATTTATGATAGAAATTGGAGTTAGGGAGCTGAAAGTCATGGGTGACTTGGAATGGCATATTGTATGCCAATGCCTTGCACTGAGTTTAACTACTGAGCTGTGAATGGGCAAGTTTATTCACTGATTATTGAACAAAGACCATAGTGACAGACTGCTTTACTGCAGTAGCGCTCACTGGGGAAAAAAAGGCAAAACAACTCAAAAAAAAAAAAAGCCAAAACTCCAGAAACCTTTACATTACTTCAAAGTTAACCTAACCCTCACTAATATTATTAATGTGTTAAATGTTTTAAGTTTAACCCCCCAAAAAATTAACTTTTCCCAAGGCCACCTAAGGGAAGGACAAACCACGAAGGACAGGCTGCTGGTATCTCAGTTAAACACCCTGGCACAGTGGGAGGATTGCCAGGCAGTGGAGAGCAAGCAGAGCTGGCTGGTGTGCCCAGTGCTGTAGGAGCCAGGAGGACTCTATGCCCAGGGCCAAAGGAAGTCTGCTCTCTGATGTACAAGCTCAGCCCAGGGACTGAGCACCTGGGCTTTAGCACAGCTGACAGCAAACACAAAGCAACCACACATATAAATAATTTTTCTAAACCTTGGTCTGCATGTTGTGCTGTATGGCTCAGTGACATGAGTGAAGTCAACTCTGCAGACATAAATAAAACTTACAGGTACTCTAATGGGATGTTTAAATACATACTTGACATCTTTCAAAACTTGTTTTTTGGTGGTTTTTCGGAAACACGGGAACCCAGTCTTTGTCTTCACATGGTAGCAGATGTTGTGGAAGGTAAGGACACTTCCTGCCTTGCCAGCCAAATCTGGCAAGGGCTGTGTTTTACTGGGAATGCCATTTGTACTGGATTCTGACATCTGAATACACAGGTGTGGCTGGTCTTCTGCCATCTTTCCTCTGGACATGAAACACAAGAAAGAGAAGATTTGATTCAGTATGAAGAAGAAAGGTGTGTGTGTTTTGGGCTCAGTGTTTGGCATGGGGCCCATGTGGGGCTGCAAGAGGCCCGTCTAGGAGTATCTCTTTTGGATAGGAAGGTTGGGTCCGGTGGGCTCAGACCTGGAGATGACACAAAGCTGATGAGGGTCTGTCAGAGGTAGGGAGATACGAGAGTTTCCCTCCACCCTGATGGTCTGCAGGGTGGACTGACCTTGGGAGACCACAGCTGCCCACCCAGCTGCCCTCTGAGGTGAATATCTGCTCTGGCACCTAGACTTCCTTCTCTAGGGTCTGTTTCTCCCTCATTTTCTCACTCATCTCTCACAGTTGCTGAACAACATCTTTTGCCCTTTCTTACATGTTTCCAGAGAAGCTTTATCACCATCCCTCATGCCCTCAGCAGCTGGAAGTGGCTGTGTCTGCCCCAGTACCACCCCAGAATCCTTTCCCACAGAATCCTCCCCCTCCAACTACCCCTCAGCAGCAGCACCTGGCCACACTATTTTGTGAAGGATATAGCAACATGGAAACTGACACTGCTGCCAAGTAATTCTCTTCCTTGGGTTTGCTTTCCATGTGAGAAGGTAGTTGTGGAATAATTAAAGTTATCTCACCTCTCTCATTGGCCAGGCTTCTGCCTGTGAGCCATCCACTTGCACAGTGGAGCATCCCTGGCTGTCCCTGTGCACACAGACCTTTGTCCCCTTTGCTCCTCCTTAAGGGTCATCTTGGGGAGAGGAAGAGTCTGGCCTCTCTGTATAACATATTGACTCATCAGAGTCTAGTTACTTTAAATATCACTATGGGAAAAGTTAACAATGCAATAGTTCCTGGGAATCAAGAGGGAAGGTGATCAGCGGGGAGCTCTGGGGTGACCAGTCCTCTACCTCAGCATAGTTACACTGCTTACAGCAAGAAAGGAGGCAAATTATGACACAATTTCAGACATGCTGAATGAATTTGAGAGCTGTCAGTAAAAAGAGCACTGGGGAAAAAAAAAAGCCATTTAATCTAACAGGCTCATATGGTCATATAAAAGCCCAAATGCAAGCCCTTCTCTTGTCAGTTTGCTCAGGGTGCTTGACACACAGCTGAGCTCTCCTTGGTGGCTATCAGCACAGTGAAACCTCTGGAAGCTCAACATTCAGCAACCGGCCTATCTCCACATTGAGGCTGGTTCATCTGTCTCCCAGTGGTACTATCTCAAATTTAGCCCAAGACTGCCTCTTCTGAAAAGCTGCAGTCTTCTGTGCTGGCAAAAATATAAGGTCATAATGCTTTAGTAGCCAGTAATCTTGGCCCAGTGCAAAGAAACCCTGTTTGAAATGTAATTACAATGGATCTAGCTTTAATTTTAGCTAAAATGCATTTTGAATAAGTTGAACATCAACCAAATGTGCAACATTTAAAATATAGAAGCCTTTCACTGAAAAACTGCATACACTCTCACTGGTACCAGAGAAGATTTACCTGCCTGGAGGAGGACAGGTAATTTTATATGGCTATTTTTCCTGCAGTTTCTAGGTTAATCTGTCTGGACATCAATCACTGCCTTTTGAAAGGATGTTTTGGTAAATTAGAGATGTGCATTCAGAGGGAACTTGTCACTTAAAGTCTCCCCAAATGCTGAGCAGATATTTGCTGAGCTAGGTGCCAAAAACACAACCACAGGGGCAACACCACATGTAGGCATTGGAAAATCCCTTGAGCTGTTGGACAGCCAAGCAGCACAGAGTGCAGAAGTCAGGAGACAGTGTGACTATGACCTGGATATATCATTACATATATAAAGTATTTGGATTAGCATTTTGCTTGATCCCATTTTTTGCTCACCTTAATATTTCAGTATTACAGATGCAACATTATGACCAAATGAGAAAAAAAATGAGGTTCAGTTTGACCTCAGACATAATCAACAGAATGGTTACATTTTTCTTTGTTTAGTTTGATTTTGTTGGTGTTTGGTCTTTTTTCCCATAGACCAGCATAAAAACCTAGCTCAGCACTTGCACTGAAATTTCTGAAATGCTCTTCAGGAATCAAACAATTTTTTTAGCAATTGAAGAAATTAATTTTTCCAGATTGAACTAGACAGGTAGACAATAAGCAGAGAATCAGAAACTGTTTTCTCAAGTGAAGGATCATGCTGCTTTTACAGTGTTGTTCCTAAGAACAGACAGTCTGTTGTAGTCAAATTTAGTCCATCAATCAAGATAGGATGAGATTGTACACTTCCTTGCAAAAATGTGTGTAGAAGCTATATAATTAAATCAGGTATGGGAAGAATTACATATACCTATAGCAAACAGTCTCTAAATGGCTATTTAATACAGCTGTCAGCAGGAAACTTCCAGTTCAGGAAGGCTTGATAACTCAAATTTCCAGAGAAAAACAACATTCTTTGCTATTGTCCCTTGGGAAAACATTAACTACAGGGAGCTGTGAGCAGAGGTTGGATTCAGGTCTCACTGGATCTCAGGTTTAGGTTGTCACTGCCCTTCCTGGCTGCAGGGTGCTTGTGCCACTCACAGGGACAGGGTGGGGTGCAGCAGGTAGAACACCTGGTACATGGATTTACCTGTGTTCTGCTCCTCCCTTCAGGACAAAAAAGTGTATTGTTGGGGACATGCCATTTATCAAAGTAAAAAACTCCATCTATTTCAAATGCTACATTAATACTGAAAATAGCATTTCACACTTTCAGAGCTACTAAAATTTATTGCAGAAAACAAAAAGCAGAATGCTCATTCACTTAGAGCTGGTGTGGTTATTTCTGCTGTATAAAATCTGTGCTGCCTGCTCTCTTCTGAAAGGGACATCACCACCGCAAGATCTCCACCACAGCAGCTCCTTGATCTCGCAGGATGACAGGGCTCAGGACATTCTTCTTCCCTCTGTGTCACAGACATCTTTTCATTAAAATCCTTTTGTTAGGATTTTTCCTGCTGAAGCTGAGAAGTTTCAGCAACAAAGTGTAAACAATGGTTATCTGCTGCTGTGGAATACAACAGGTGGATCTGTGATTGGTCTCCTGTAGATGTTTGGATTTACTGACCACTCACAGCAGAGCTGCTCTCCCTCTCTGCTGGGACACGATCTTTGTTATTCATTCTTTTCTATTCTTAGCTTAGCTAGCTTCTGAGAACCTTTCCTTCTATTTCTTTTTAGTATAGTTACAATGTATTATATATATCATAAAATAATAAATCAAGCCTTCTGAACATGAGGTCAACATTCTCGCCTCTCTTCACCTCAAGACTCCTGTGACTGCTGTCACACCTCTGGTGGGAAGGGCCTTCTGGAAGTCTCAAACTCCTGCTTGTCCCTCAGAGCAGGTCTGGCATCAGCAGGAGACTGGGTCAGCTGTGGCTCTGCCTGGGGGATCCGTGGAAGCCTCTGGGAGCGGCCATTGGATCTCAGCTAACAGTGTGCTCAGAGAAGATGAAGTGCAAACAGCAGAAAATAGGCACTCTTGCTAAAATCAGGCATTGGATTTGCTTTGCTTTTTTGGATGCCTCTTTTTTGCTGCGGTGTAAAAAGTTGCAAATCTGTATGGTATTTCACAAAACAGCCTTCCCATTTCTGATCTAGCAATAAACTTCACCTGAGGAACAGAGGGTCCTGCTCCTTCACAGCTAATGTAATTGTCAGCTGTTTGCAACCACGCCTCAGAAATTGAATCTTTAAAATATTGCAGATTCTATAAGTTAAAAAATAATTATTTAAATTTAATCTGGCATACAGCCATGAAACATTTTAAGTCAGAACACTTACAGGACAAAGAAACAACCAATATGAATGTTAATCAAATCAATTTCTATGCAAATTTTAAATTAAGTTTCTCAGATTTCATTGCCATTGGCTTACAAATATTTACTTTAGATCAGATATGAGCAAGAGATGCTATAACAACATATACTTCCTGCTGTATTCAGAAGTATTTGTTAATCTCAATAAAGTGTTACATATTCTCATAGTATCAGCTGTGAGTATAGTACACTTTGCATCAGCAGAATTAAAAATTTATAAACTCTCTGGAAATTTTGCAAATTTTGTTTTGCCAAATAGTTTTGAAATATTTCTATTGCCACTGATTTCAGCATAATTTCAGCTCAGGTCAAATAGAAAATAATTTTCTTCAGAGATGTAGTCTCAAAAAATTTTGCCAGGACACAAATTACTGGACCTAGAGATTTAACCTTTGATTAGTGGCAAAATGAAACTACTTTCTTTAAAACAACCAGGAAACCTCTTTGCCCACTGTTTCAATACAGGTAAAATTAATGTCTCAGTACCGTCATTTTCCTGAGTATTCTTCTGAGACTTGTAAAGTACAAAGTTTCATTTTTTCCTACACACACAAAAGGGAACTAAACAAAACCATCAAACAACAACAAAATGTGCTACAAAGTTAAGTTGATTCAAACATGATTGACTCCACAGCAAAACAATTTCAGTAAATGTACTTGTGTCCTTCAAGATACATTGCCTATATAAAAAACTAAGGAACATTTATTCCTATCAGTATTCCTGCAAAGCTTTTGGCACCAGGGGGATTTGCAGTTCAAATAGAAAAAAAAAAAACACAATAAAGAACATACTATAAGAGGGGTAGTAAAATTATGAATAGCAAAACTCAGACATGCGTTTTTAAAAATCCAGGTAGATACTCAATAGATTTTATCTTTATAGAGAATAAGTATTGAAGTTACTTAAGGAGAAAGATTTTTAGAGACAGAAGTGGCGTTCAGCATAATTTTCTAAAGGAAGATCCTCTAAACCCTTTTAAAAAACAGTCTTTTTCTTTTTTCTGGATACTTGAACATGCCAGAGAAACCGCAGTTAAGTGTGCTATTATTTCTCTTATTTTTACACCGCAGTGGTTACAAAGTTAAGTCTTGTAGCCTGCAAGCTGAATCAGTACTGTATGTGCATTTTGGACTTTTGAGATATATATATATATATATAAATTCAGAGAAGCTGTAACCTTTCAATATATATAAATTCACAGAACCCTTTCTTCCCTCCTTCTTCAGCCATTTCCAGGGATGTGACTGACCAGATAATGGCTGTGGGGATGCAAAGGGGGCAGGACCACACATTCCTCTTTCTCAGAAACATGTGCAGGAAATTAAAACCGTTTGAGTAAATGAGGATAATGCGATTGAGGCAATCTGTAAATTAATTGCCAGCCTATTTACCGCGGATTTGTAATCTACCTTCAACGAAAAGAGCACAAATGTTAACGAGCATGAGGGAGCACTGAGAATGGCAGCTCCAGCAAAATTGTCTCATTTTTCACTTTTTTACTGATTTTAATTTCTGCCTTGAAGCTTCCACACCCCCACCTTTTATAAAGCATGTTTTCATTGATTTTTTGCCTTCCCAGTAAAATCCCTTGAAAAGCCGGGAGAAGGCAGGTGAGCGTTTTGCTGCGGTTTCCTTGGGTGCTGGAGAAGAACAGCTACTGAATATTATCCTACAGCAATGGCAGTGCAAGCAATTCATGGACGAGGGAACAAGCCACTACATGGAGCTAAACCTGCCTGAGTAAAAGGGCTGAGCTGCTGCACCTGTTCCACTCACCAGCAGCAGGTCCGGGTCGGCGCCGCGGGGCTGCTGAGGAGGCGGCAGAGGCGCTGCGAGGAATGCAGGATCCGGGGAAGGGAGGAGCGAGGCACAGCTCCGTGACACAGCTCCGAGGCACAGCTCCGAGGCGCAGCTCCGCGGCGCGGCTCCGCGGCACAGCTCCTCCGAGGAACAGCTCCGAGGCTCACTCAGCTCGCAGGGCTGGGCAGTGCCACATCTCACATCTGCTGCAGGACGGGCCGGCAGCTGGGTACCCTGTGCTCCATCACCCCGCGAGTCTCCACCCTCTCCCTTTGTAGGGAGGGCAGGGCCGGGGCGCGCCCCGCTTCCACCTTTTCTCCTTTCAGCTGCCACAACCCACCCGTGCCCACAGCGGGGACACTGTCAGGGAAGGAGAGCATCCCCACCGGCCCAAGGCTTGCAGCCAAGAACAGGGCTGGCAAAGCCGGCAGGGTGGGATGAATCCCAGCACGGCATGTCAGACAACGCTCAGCTGGCTGTGATATCTTCTTGCCCAGTATCCTGGAGACAGATACATTTTCCTTCAGTTCCAAATACCTGCAAAAATGCAAAGGCTTTTCTGAGCCCATACAGGACAGTATGTGGGTATGACATTGATGCTGTGTAAAGAACCAAAGGTAAGACAGCCCTTGCTATACAAAGCAAGAGCACTGGTCCCCAGCCGAGGTTACTGGGCAGCATCAGCCACAGATTTCCAGAAGCTGTGCTAACTTGGAGCAGGATCACTGACAAGTATACCTCTTCTCCCACATGCTCCCTGATGCAGTTTTGCTTTCCAGGACACATGTAGCTTCCAGTAACCCCAAAGATGATTTTGGACAAACTCTGGGGGATACTGAAGGAGCTCCTTCAGTTCTGTTGGCACTATAGCATATGAGGGCTCTGCCAGACCTTTGACAAATGCATGACCCCATGGAGTCACAATCTTTCTCCTTGGGAGATGACACAGAAGAGTACATGTTATGGATGGTTTCCATTTAAAATCATGATTTTTTAAAATAATCTCTTTTTCCTAGCAAGACTCATCACTAATTATTAAATATCAAGGGTGCCCATAAGAGCTCTCCTGGACAAAACACCACAGGGCAAGATCTTTTTATGTAGCTGTAACCTAGGATGGGTAAGTATATAATTGTTCATGAACCATGCTTCTGAGACTTTGGTCTTTCTTTTATCAATGACTTTATAATAATTAACTCTCTACTGTATTTATATAAGACTTAGAAGCATGCCACCAGCTAGTGAAAACATTGCATGGTCCCCGTGGCATTTGAGAAGGTGCACGTGTCTCCAAGGAGGTGCAGAAATACTGCTATCTATCTTGTTCAGGGAGAGTGTGTCTGCAGCCTGGGCTGGAAACCTCAGCAGACAATTTGTATTATCAGATCTGGCCTTTCCCCAGGCAGCTTGGATGCAGGACTCAAAGGTATAAGTTGCTACACTGGGATGAGCTGTTGACTCCCTAGAAAGCCCTGCAGAGAGACCCTGACAAGTTGAAGGACTGGGAAATCACCAACCACATGAACTTTAAAGACAAGTGCTGTATTTTGCTATTGTTGGGACAGGGCAACCCTGGATGTATGGACAGGCTGGGGAATGAGAGGCTGGAGAGCAGCCCTGTGCAAAGGGCCCTGGGGGTGCTGGTCCATGGAAAGTTGAATGTGAGTCAGCAGTGCCCTGGCAGCTAGGAGGGCCAACCCTGTCCTGGGGGGCATCAGGCACAGCATGGCCAGCTGGGCAAGGGAGGGGATTGTCCTGCTCTGCTCTGCACTGGGGTGGCCTCACCTTGAGTGCTGGGGGCAGTTTGGGGTGCCAATATATAAGAAAGTATGAACTATAGAGAGCATCCAAAGGGGGGCAACAAAGATGGTGAAGGGCTTTGAGGACCAGCCATACCAGGAGTGGCTGAGGGTCACTTGGTCTGTTCGGCCCGGAGAAGAGGAAGCTGAGGAGAGACCCCATTGCAGTTACAGCTTCGTTGTGAGAGGAAGAGGAGGGACAGACACTGACCTCTTCTCTGTGGTGACAATGACAGAAGCCCGGGGAATGGCCTGAAGTTGTGTCAGGAGAGGTTTAGGCTGGATATTAGAAAAAAGTTTCTTTGCCCAGAGGGTGGTTGAGCGCTGGAAAGGCTCCCCAGGGAAGTGGTCACAGCTCCAAGCCTGACAGGGTTCAAGATTTTGGGCAATACCCTTAGGTACATGGTGTGGTTCTTGTGACTGTCCTATGATGGGCCAAGAGTTGGACTTTATGATCCTTCTTGGGTCCCTTCCAACTCAGGATATTCTTCCATGAGCTAGGAAAAACCAGAGCACTTGCACAGGATGCAGAGAAGGCCACTGTTGCTCTCAGGATGACTGGTGCTCCAGCTTAAACCAACCAACCAACACAACAAAAAAAGGAGATGAAAAACTGTGGTTATTTTGTTTGCACAGGTATTTGCTCGACTTTTAAGAGCCAATATGACTTGGTTTCTTTTTTTAATTGTGGGCACAGGTATCCTTGAGATTGTTTCTGAATGTGTCAATTCACAGTTGTTCCTGTCTTCAGGAGTGGAGCAGACTCCAGAGAAGGAAAGCCCCAACTGATGCATGCATTAGAGTCTGAGACATCGAGTGAAAGGAGTTCTGCCTTTCTGCAGTTTCAGCAGCTGGCCAGGAGCAATTTAACTTCACAGGGAAGTTTTTTCTCTTAGACACATGTATAGGACACATGTATAGACAGTCTGAAGGGACTGTGTTATCAGCTCTGGTAGCTGCTAGGATTTTTAGTGGTCCTGTATAAAGATAGCACAGAGCCATTCACATTCAAATAAACAATAAAAGAAATGCGTTGTAGGAACGTGATTCCTCAGAGATAAGATTACATATTTCATTAGGGAGAGACAGAGCCTCATCAGCTTTGGCGCCTCATCGGCTTTGCTGCTGCGGGGCTCCCACAGGGATCAAGGTTCACATATTGCTGCAGGGCTTGAAACCTGTGCCCTCAGGAGTGCAAAACTCAGTAATTAATCCTACCCTAATAAATTTTTTTCTATCTTACTGTTTCCAAGGTCATGCCTGCCCCACGTGCTTATTTGTCAGACAATGCACAAAAAGTTATCATAAATTTTCCCTCATCTATCTTTGGGCAAACCTGTGGTATATCACAGGATTACTTAAGGTTAGCAATACAGAGTTCAACCTTTCACACTTCTGTTTTGTGCTTGGCCACGTGTGAGGCACATCCATAATGTGCATGAGAGGTTTAGTTAGTCCACAACACATAAACCCTGAGATGTTAAACACAACGTAAGTGAGGTATCACCTTATCACACAGTCCCTCCAAGCAGCTTGCATGTTCTGTTTAAATATTAAATCTGGCTGAAGGTCACCACCAGCTGTCCATTAACCAAAATAAAAGGGTAAATCTGCACAGCAGCAACACCAGCCAAGGTGTGTCTTGAGCTGTGCCCCTTCTTTGTTTGGAATGAATAGAGCTTTCACCTCAACACTGCAAGGCAATGTTTAAAAACATCATAAAATTTTATTACAAGGAGAAGAAAACACACCTTGTATGAGTAATTGCTATTGAAAGATTAAAGGTGACAAACCTCAAGGAATGGATGTAGACATTGAGTCAAATGTTGATCAACATGATGCTTACCAGGAATTCTCCTGAGCTGCAGATCAGGCTGGCATGATACTGTGCCGTATTTCCAGCTTGGTGTCAAACCTCTCAGGTGTCACCCTGTTCTTCTAAGTTCTTCTAAGCCTTCTGATGTTTACATTTTTGTAATGAAATTTCTCACGCACATTTCATGTAAATAATGATTGCTTTGCATTCCTTTCTGGAGGAGGAGAAATTTGATAAACTCTTGGTTTGACCAGTGTAGCTGGAGAAGTGGCAACTACATCCTCCAATCCATGGTCACTTTTAAAAATCTGTAAATATTACAGTCAAAAATAAACTATGCTTTTTTGCCTTAGATGTTTCATGCATGTCTTATGCAGGTTGTTTAGCATTCCCATAACAATGACTTAAACTGTGCCCCAGAAAAGTACCAGTTAAATCACTGTGATGTTAACATCACATATTTCACTTGAGTGGGAGATTTCCTAGCAGGTTCCCTGTTGCTCAGAGTGTGCTGCATTTCACTGATGTGTTCACACCTTCTGAATTTAGGCTTAGAGCTATAATCCTTCACAACCTTGCTTTGTCTTACAGGTGTTTTGACTCTACCTTGCTATTCAGGCCAAAACCTGGCTTAGTTGAGAATTAACACATCTGGGAGATATCTAAGACCTCTGTTTCCTCTCAGTGAACACAACAGTCTCTTAAGCTGCTAACACCAGATTCTTCTAGCATGTTTCCATGTCTGCAGTCATGTTTTCCTCCCCAGCTCTCTGATTTCTTTGAGACAGCAAGTCCCAGGGAAGGAGTTAAAGCACCCCAATGTCAAGCACTGCACCCTCTGTGAAATGTCCTGAACAAAGGGCAAGGACAACTTTATAGATACCCTCAGAGTTTTTACACCCATTCATGGCTGTTCTAATACGTAGCAGTGGCTGAGATTTTTTTTTTCTCACTGCTAAATTGTTGTGATCTTTGGCTGGAAAAGAAATGCTTTGTCATGGTGAAATTGCCTGTGGACAAACAGCAGCAGCAGAGGGCAGTGCTGAAGAACTGTCCCTCCTTCATGTGCTAACTGTGGAGCAGAGAAACAAGAGGAACTCTCAGCATCCTTCTTCCCTGGTGCCCTCTGGTGACTGACACTGCTCTCCCAGCTCACGCTGCGCGGGATCCTGAAACACAAACCTGCTTTGGGGCCAGGCCTTGGGGAAGAAAAGAAATAGTATCGATTTGGTCCATTAGTAACAGTGTCGGATGTGAAACTTGGTGGTCTGGTTTATTTCCCTGTAGTTCATGCAGGCAGCACCACCACTGCTCTGCACCAATAATGAAGGAACAGCAAAAGATCTTCTTGGAAACATAGAGAACCACCCTGGAAATGTAGGAAGGCTGTATCAGGAGAGGCTTGCATTAGCTGTGCTTTTACCACCATCCACTACATCAATACTCACACTGCATTAGCCTTGAAGAGAGGAGAGTATCTGATCTGATGCTCAGGGTCATACCCCACTACATCATCTCGTGTCCCTGTGGGATCAGTGCAGAGCTGGGGATGTTTAGCCTGGAAAAAAAGGAGGCTCAGGAGAGACTTTATTGCTCTCTACAACTACCTGGAAGGAGTTTGTAGAGAGATGGGGATCAATCTCTTCTCCCAGGTAAACCAGTGACAGGATGAAAGGAAACTAAAGGAAATGTCCTCAAGTTGTGCCAGGGGAGCTTTAGATTGGATATTAGGAGAAATATCTTCATGGAAAGAATGGTCAGGCATTGGAACAAGCTGCCCAAGTGGTGGAATGACCAGCCCTGGAAGTGTTAAAAAAATGTGTAGATGTGGCACTTGGGACTGTGGTTTAGTGGTGAACACGCAGTGTTAGGTTGATAGCAGGACTCAGACTTGGAGGCCTTTCCAACCTTATCAGTGTGCTTTGTGAGACAGCCTGTCTCCCACTTCTGGGAGCCCTTCAGACTGTTTGCAAACATCCCCCAACTTAATTTCTGCCTCTGGAAGCAGTGGGAGCACCTCTCCTGTGGTGTGTGCTGGAGCCAAAATAGCTCAGGGTTTCAAATAACCCAAGGTGGAACACCCATTGCCTGTAATTAGCATACCACGTCCAGGATCTGGAATGAGTTAAAACTCAAGAGAAAGCCAGGCGTCCCTAACACCTGGGGAGAAGCTTTGCTGGCAAGAGCATCTTGTGCCTCAACAGCAGAGCAGCCAGAACTGTGATCTGGAGCTGGAGGATGCAGGAGTTGAAATCACTTAGAGCATCAAATACCTTGAGCTTTAAGCAGCTGGAGCATTTATCAGTCAGAGCTGTGAGAAACAGGAGCATC